TAGACTCTTGGCACTCTTAGGTGAGCAGACTTAGTCAGCCTGTGTTGCCCTAACAGAGTGGGAGGTTGTCTCAGACTGTATTTTCAGCTCCTGATATAGCCATTTTCAAGAATATGAAATCAATCAGCAATTATCAGTGTGACTCCCACATCACTCACCAAACTCCATTGTATGCGGTCACATGTGGGAAGATATCGCATGGGATGTGTTGCCAGACAATGACAAGATGACTGGAACGGAAGCAGGGACATTCATTCATTCATCGAGCAACGGGCGCCAAAATTGCTACCGTCCAGTCATAAGCATATTGCTAAGATAGGTATCATCTTGCAATCAGAGCACAATTAACCTCATCAATTGACAATTATACACTAATACATCCCCGTGAATCGCGACTTGGTATAAGGAAATGGACGGACCATCCGCCATCGTTCAACAACAGGTATCGTCTCCATATCACCATTGTTGTGACAGTAAGTGAATCAAATGATCTCATATCGTACAATATTGATGCTGTGGTCAAGGATAAGTCACAATATCAGTGCGAATTTGTCGCTGACACCGTCTTGAGCCACCGAGCACGAGAAAACATGCCCAACAATCCCCTCCATATGATAATCACCAGTGACAACGCGCATATGAAGAGAACAACATTGGCAAACCAATAACTCGTGTCGAGTACACGTTGCTGGGCGCCTGAGTACCCCACGATGACCTGGAACGCGCTGAGTGTGGTTTGGAAGAAGGCGAAGATGAAGATGAGGACGCCAATCATATGCGGGGAGAATGAGGTCGTTTGTCCTTTGGCCCATTGGGTGCTTCGGAGTGCGCCCCCGTCCTGACCCAGTACCGAAGAGCGGGGAAAGAAGAGCTTGGAAAAGAAGAGCTTGAGCGAGATGCGCACACTGAGCACTTCGCCCAGATCGTATCTATTCCCGAGCTCGAGTGTGGAGAGCGTACCACGGGGGTCGAGCGCGCGGGTGAAGGTCAGCCAAGCGGGCCAGTCTAGTTCAGCAGGGAGGAGGAAGAGCTCGTGGGCGATACGCAGGTCTGATGGGTGCTGCACGAGCTGTAACCATGATGCGAGCAAGCCGATCGCTGAAAGGATGACTGGCGAGGGGACGGACTGCGGCTGAAGGAGGTGCAAGTGATAGAAGTCGTGGTGCAGCAGACAGGGAGGGAGCGGCTTGATGAAGATAGCGTTCTTGAGGCGATACCAGAGGAGATGCTGTTGTGGGTCTTCAGAGAGGATGATAGAGTGACCGAAGGCACGGTGCAAGTGGAGTGGGCAGATGTCGGCTCGCGTAGGTACAGTCGGGCGTAGGGATGGGAGGAGGTCGTCTATAGGCGCGGTAGAGAATTCGGAGATGAGGTACGAGACGGTCTGCGAGATCGGATGGTTGGTGTTGGGAATATAGGAGGAGAGAGGAGTTTGAAGTGAAGCAGGTACGGCAGAGAGAGGGTAGGTTGGGAGTGCGATATACCCCGGTGAAGGTGTGGGACATTCGGCTGGCTTAGATAGAGATAATTCAGACATGAACGCACAGGGTGATCGTAGAAAACAGAGAGAATAGACTTGTTTGACCTCTGGATGCAGTTCATCATGTCGTGAGGCTACGGAGATGGCAACCAGTGAGGATGGCGGTGCATCGACTCTTTGTCCTAGCTAGACCACAACGCCAGGGCGAACGGTCACGGAACAACATTACCACTTCGCGCACCATCCCTTTATTTTCTTCCTCACGAGCAGAACTCGCTGAAGACGCAACTGGCTCAGCATGATCCATATTCAGAAGAACCCATTAACTCAGAGGATAACACTCGCTGAGTGCCGAAGACCGCGGAGAGGACCTCGCGCCGTTAGTTATTTGACGTAACAATCGTGATATTCATGAAGCTCAATAAATAAAAATAAGGCGATCTCAATCCGTGAAATCTGTATATACCGTACAGAGGAAATGCTACGTGCTTCTTTACCAAATACGTGCTGAACAGCTTAAAGAACTTTGAAATACGGGTTGAACCCCACCGTGGTCTCTCCGTCAAATACGTTGCGCGTCTTTGTAGTCGGTGGAGGAGTGACGACATACTTGAGTCTCTTCTCCTTGGGGCGGTCGGGCGCAAACATCTTGTGTTTATGCATCCGGTCGTCCTGCAGCATCAGGCTTTCCATCTGCTCGGCGCTGGATATGACAGGAGCGGAGAACACACGGGGTTGGTTCTTGTGCCCCATCTGTGCGAGGAGTGGGGAGCCACGTAGGCGGGGAGGGATAGGCGGAGAGGAAGGGACGTGTGGGCGAGAGAGGGGGGAGACGTTACGCGTGCGTTGGCGGGGAGCGGAGTGGAGGTAGATAGAGGGAGGGTTGGACGGACGACGGGGGGTATTGGAGAGCGTTGCTTTCTTCGATTTCTGCTCCAGGGACAGTGAGGGCTCATCTGGATCAACTTCTTCCACACGCACGGATATACCGGGAATGTCGAGCTTGCACTCGCCGCCGGGGGTCATATGCTTGCCAGGAGACATACGACCGTTTGATGGAGAACTAACATGACGAATTCCAAGACCCTTGAGAGCAGCCGCCAGTAGGTGTTCGCCATTGGCTTCCGGGACTTGGAGGTAGCGGCTAGAGTGTTGGCCGGAGGGGCAGGGGATGATGGCAGAAGCTTTAGGGGTGGACTGGTCGCTGCCGAGAGGGGAGGGAGTACGAATGCGTGGGTTGTCCTTCCTGTTGGGAGAGGAGGGCGGTATTTGACTGCCCTGGTGAGTGTTAAACGCTGGACGGTGAGCGACTTCCGGACGGTTGGCCTTCTGATCGTCCGAGTCAGAATCCGAGCGGTACATGACCACGCGTGGCTGATGGTGCTGATAATGGTAATGGTGACGCGGGCGCGGGCGGCATGCGGACCGACCACGCCGGTGCTCGTATTCTCCTTCGTAGCCATCGTCGCTCGGCAGGCTAAGACAGGCAGGACGAGCGGGGGAGGAAGCGCCCACGGGAGATGCGGCGCGGTTTGGGGCAACCGCCGGGTCCACGTCGGTTTTCAGAGTTGGGAAGGATATGATGCTGATCCCGCGCTTGCCACTGCAGTCGAGTGACAAGCCTAGACCTATACCCAGACTGTCTGTTCCGGCGGACGGTAGTTCGGGGATGATGAAGGTTGGGGAAATCGGGGAAACGTCGGTGTTGATCTCGTCTTCTTGTGCAGAGGAAGAGTGATGTGATGCGCCCGAGGTCAACTCTGGCGCATTCAGGTCGTCGCTGTCCGAGGCAGAGGAGGAGGTAGAAGTGGATTTCTGTACGGGGCAGCTCTTTGGAAGAGTGCGAGCGTACGTGCTGAGGTAGGTTGGCGCAGCCATGATTGTTGCAGAAGACGAGCGATGTGTGACGAGTTGAGTGCGACGCGCAACGTGCGGTGAAGAGCAGCAAAGGCATCGACAAGCGCATTTATACGGCGACGAGCAGCGCTGAGCAAGACAGCTTCAGTATCCCAGACATCGCGCATATACATGGCTCGTGTGGTCGTCGACCTTGACTCGTGACGCGTCGCCCTTCCGCTATTGTCTCAGACATCATTGTCGGCTCTCAGATTTTTTCCCGTCTCATAGACGCATCCGTTCCTTGTCGCGGGCACTTTTCCCACCGGAGACGCATATAGATACCGGTACTAGTAACCATCGGAATAGAAGCTCGAGCCGCACCGCCGATGCGGTCGCGTATTCGGCGATGATTGGCCAGGTTAGATGTGAAAGGCAAACGTTCGTCGTCTAGACTTCTCGGAAAGTCGTCGGTTAAACGCGTCCCTTCGTCTAAGCGGCTCGCTTGGGATGGCTGACCATCAAGGGACAGGCTATTCTCAGTCAGCTGATAGAGAGTCGGAGTTGACAGGAACAGCATGAGGTGGCGTGTATGCACAGGAGCCGGAAAATGCACTTTCCGGCGACGAATGATGTGTATATGCGATAATGGACCTGATTGCAGCGCGGATCGCAGTGACTGTCCAAGCGACAGACGAGTTTGTTTGGGATGAAGAGATGGCGGATGTCGTCGTTGTCGAGTTGACGAGTTGATGCGCGTCCGAGTTGCCTATGGGAGAAGGGCCCGAACAACAGTGTCCAGACCGCATTAGCCAGCCACCAAAAGGACCGGAAGGACTCGGTGCATTGATATGTTCTAGCCCACCACAGTCCGGGTTTGTGTGGGTGGTCAATTACTGAGGGAAGACATTTCTGAACACTGCGTCCCGACTCATTTGATCCTCCATCATCCCTGGCTGAATCGCTCAAAAACTAAGCCACCTAAACTTGATGTCAACTATTACCATTCATAGGAATGTGTTGTTCACTTACAGAGCACATGCGCTTTCCCGGGCCGGAAATGGACCCCAATCGTAGAACACAAACATTGGCGTGGATTTGTCGGGGATGACAAAGAGTAGACGGGGATGTTTGGAGTGATGGGAAAGATGACCGAATCATGCCGGGCGAGAAGCATTTATTTGTTGTTGATTATTCGTGAAAAGAAGTGGAGAACAAGATGGAGTGTGTATTGACAGGGAGTCAACAGGAAGAGATAATTGTAAAATGACCCACATTGTCTGCTTATGAAAGCAATCCCTCCTTTCATGGTACGACGGCGATGTTGTGCCGTAAAGTGTATTTGTGGACTGAATGGACTGTGCATGCGACTCGTCGTGTTCTCCCATGCGTAAGCCCGCACAAGTTCACGCAAAGCATCTCCATATTCGGACCCTTACTCCTGTTGAGGGCACAGGCCATTCCCATCCAACAAAGGCATATCGGGCATGTTGCATGCCACACTTCGCTCTCTACCACGCACTTCTCCATCCTCTCCTCCGTTGTGTCGACTCAACTCTTCCTGTAGGAGAACCTTCCACTTCCCTGTCACCACCGCTCGCATCGTTCCAAAAAAACCTGTGATAACTAGGATCGCGCATATATCTGCCTTTAGGATCCGATCATATTGTGCCAGACACGCTCTCGCTGGAGTCGGCTTCAACACCATGGTTGCATCCACCGCAAATCCCCAGGACCACGTCAAGATCTCCGATGATGTTACGCCTACGCACTATAATGTGACGATTAGGACAGATTTAGAAAAGGATGTGTATGACGGACGCTCTGAGATCGAGTGCGTTGCGTCAACGTAACCGTTGTGAGAAATGCTAACTATATGCGCTGTAATCAGTCTCAATGTCAACGTCGCTACCTCATCCATCACCTTCCACCTCGGCGAACCTACCGTTGTGACCTACGCCGCCCTCTCGAGCGAGAACCTCAAGACGGACAGTCTGCAAGTCGCGAAGGAAATCAAGGCAGACAAGGAGGGCGAGCGGGTGACAGTCACCTTCGAGGAGACGCTTCGCGCCGGGACCAAGGCGAAATTGGCGTTGGCTTTCAAGTCGCAGTTGACGTGCGCACCTCGTTTTTCTGTTACAATCAACACAATGCTGATATTAGAATAGCGGTTCCCTGATGGGTTACTACAAGTCGACTTGGGCACATGAAGGACGCAAGGGAACGTATGCGTTGACCCAGTTCGAACCCACCGCGGCACGCAAGGCCATGCCGTGCTGGGACGAGCCCGCGATCAAGGCGACCTTCGACCTTTCTCTCTTGTCTCGCTCCAACACGGTCTCTCTCAGCAATATGGATGCCATAAGCGCGTCACCTAGCAATGCTGCGTTTGAGCAGAGCAAGCTGTTTGCCACCGCTGCTGTGACTGAGAAGGGGCCGAACGAGAAGGGGCCCGCTGAGAAGGGCCCATCAGAGAAGGGACCTGCGGGCGATTGGACTCTCACCAAGTTCGCTACGACCCCCAAGATGTCCACCTACCTTGTTGCGTGGGCCAACGGCGAGTTCAAGCACACCGAGTCCTCTTACACGTCCACCTCAGGCCAGAAGGTCAACCTGCGTGTGTACACCACTCCGGAGTACATCACCCAGGCCGGTCTCGCACTCGACGTCAAGGTCCGCATCTTGCCCCATTACGAGCGTATCTTCGACATTGCCTATCCGCTTCCGAAGCTCGACACGCTTGTGGCGAGCGACTTTGACGCAGGTGCGATGGAGAACTGGGGCTTGATCACCGGCAGGACGTCCGCATATTTGTATGACCCGAAGACGAGCGGCATCAACTCCCTCAAACAAATCACGGAAACTCAGTCCCACGAGGTCGCACATCAGTGGTTCGGGAACATAGTGACGATGAAGTGGTGGGATAACCTGTGGCTCAACGAGGCGTTTGCTACCCTCATGGGCGAAGTGATCATCATCCAGCAGGTGCGCATATATCATCAAATTAGCATCATATTTCTGATCGCGAACAGATCCACCCCGAATGGCGTCCTCATGCAGAGTTCATCAACATGCACTTGGATCGGGCATTGAATTTGGACTCGCTGAGGTCATCCCATCCTATCGAGGTACCTTGCCCGGACGAGAAGGCCATCAACCAGATCTTCGATGCGATCTCGTATTCCAGTGCGTACAAGCGCTCTCTCTTAACCACGCGCTGACGCAATAATCTAGAGGGTGCTTCTGTGCTCCGCATGCTCTCCTCCATGATCGGCGAAGAGGTCTTCCTAAAGGGCGTCTCCAAGTACCTCAAGTCCCACCTGTACAGCAACTCGGTGACCGCCGACCTCTGGCGCGGCATCTCCGAAGCCTCGGGTATCAACGTAAACGAGATCATGGCCTCCTGGACGCTCAAAGTCGGCTATCCGCTCATCCAAGTCTCGGAAACCGCCTCGGGGATCAAAGCCCAACAGACGCGTTTCCTGGCCACGAACGACCTCAAACCGGAGGAGGACGAGACGCTGTGGCATGTCCCGTTGAATATCTTGACTGTGGGTGCTGGGAAGGCCGTGGTGGATAGCAAGGCGGTGCTTACGGCGAAGGAAGCTACGTTTGATATTCCCAATGTGGGAAACTCGCTGTACAAGCTGAATGCTGGGACTACCGGCGTTTGTGAGTCGACTCGCTCCCTATCATATGATCGCGGGCTGATAAAAGGATAGATCGCGTTCTCTACCCTCCCGAGCACCTGTCCAAGCTCGGCGACGAGGCTGCTCGGAAGGGCAGTTCCCTCACGCCAGAGGACCGCATGGGCCTCGTTTCCGACGCCTTTGTCCTCGCGCGTTCTGGTCACGGGAGCACGAGCGCAGCTCTCGATCTCATCAAGAAGTTGCGGAATGAGGACGACTACCTCGTCTGGTCGCGCATGGCAAATGCTATCTCTGAGGTCGGCACTGTCTGGTGGGAGCAACCCGAGGATGTCCAAGACGGCTTGTTTGCTTTCAGGAGGTCTCTCTTCGGCCCTCTGGCAGAGAAGCTTGGGTTCGAGTTCTCCGAGAACGACTCGCCGGATCTTATCCAGTGGAGGATCACCGCGATCACCAATGCGGCTAATGCTAATGATCCCAAGTGTGTCTTTTCCCCTTTTGTCCACGGATTGATACTGATCTGGTGATAGGACGATCGCCAAGGTCAAGCGCCGGTTCAACTTCTTGCTTGAGAAGAACGACGCGTCCCAAATTGCCGGTGACCTCCAGCGCACTATCTACGCGAATGCGGTCCGCCTCGGCGGTGTGAAGGAATGGGAGAAGGTCCTCGAGATTTACCGTCATTTCGAGACGCCGTCTCAGAAAACGGCAGCAATGATCGCCTTGTGCCGCTCTACAGATCCTGCGCTTGTCAAACGTACGCTGGACCTTATCCTCACAGAGGAAGTAAAGACACAGGACTACATGTACTTCATTGCTGGATCGGCGTTGAACCCTTCTGCCCGCCGGGAGGTGTGGCAGTGGGTCCAGACGCACCTGTCCACACTTGTGGAGAAGTTCAAGGGCAACTTCTCCCTTGGCCGTGTCCTTCAATACAGCTTTGACTCCCTCACGACGTTCGAAGACGTCAAGGCCATCGAGCGCTTCTTCAAGGATAAGGATACGAGCACATATGTCCAAGCGCTCTCACAGGGGTTGGACGATGTGCGGAGTAAGGCGGCTTGGCTGGAGCGGGATAGGGCCGAGGTGGAACAGTGGCTCAAGAAGAATAGTTACTTGTAAGCGATATGAATTGGGAAGATTGGGCCATGGCCAGAACTGTCGTGTTGATAGGGCACTTCCTACGAACCAATATAGTAAACTTTGAATGAGCTGATCTTGTTCAAATTGATGGTAGTCAGAATGTGGAAATGCATGCGGTGATCTATGTCGGTGTCCAGCAATATGAGACAACTGTGAGAATTATGACGTCATCGCATGGATATCGCTTGTCTTTTGATCTCGGACGGTGAAGTCTATATATGTATTGCATGCAACTAATGAGACGACTTTGTACAATGGAAAGTAGAAAGCTATTGAATACTACTGAGGGAGAGAAAATCAAAGTAGAGATACATGTGGTGTCGAAGAATGGCGTAGCAACGAAGCGCACGCTCACTCTTCACACCAGGCAGAGAGGAAACGAAGATGTACTTAGTAATGTCCATAATAGGAAGGTCTGGGGTACGAGAGGCCGTGGTAGGGGATGGATGATGAGCTTGGCTCGTAGGGTGAGTAATAAGCTGATCTTGATGGGGGGGGATCGGGTGCCCTGGGAGGTAGCACTTGATGATGGACGGCGGGCAGAGCTGTCCGATACTCTCTACTTGCGTGCTGCTGGGGCGGGCCTGAGTCGTGTCTCGGAGGGAAAGGAGCCGGCGGTGTGGGCAGTGCGCGATAAGGTGTGGCTCCTGCAGGTGGAAGTTGATAGTCGTAGTTACTGTAAACTTCTCGGCGGCCTGCAGGAACGTCTCGAGGATGATGTGGGCGCTGTTCAGAGCCCGTCACTGCTGTCAACGTCGGCTCCACCAGTTTGAAGTAGGGAAGCTCCAGTTGCGGTCTGCTGGATCGCTGAACAACTCCGGACCACGTTTGCGTGGTATGGTTAGGGGGAGAGAATGTGGTACCCGGCCTCGTTCCCGAGCTACGGTTTGGCGCAGCGGTGGTAACGGTGGGTGAAACACGCGTGGGCACAATCTGTGGTGACAGGCCATGAGGGTAACAAGGAGGGTCACCATACCTAAAGGTGGTCGTCAGCGAGGATTCCAAGGGGTACAGGAGAGAGACGCACCTGACCAAGTCTGCGGCAACCTGGAAAGATGGACGACTTGAAGTTGATGCGTGGGGCGAACTGTTGTGCCTCGGAGATCCTGTTTCCAATCTCCTCTTCCCGGACTCAACGTGGTGAGGTGTTTGTGGCAATGGTTTCTTTTGCCGGTGGACGGAACAGGTTGTGTTGGACTGAGGGAGCGCAGTCTCGTCCGTTTGTTGGTTAGTCAATCTAGCCCTTCCCGCCACAGCAGCACCGGTCTTTCGTTGTGCTTTCTTTTTTTCTGCTCTCTTCAACACATTGTACCTGCTATGACTTTAGGGCGACTCAAAAACTTTTTGTATTGTGTGACTTCACCTGTTCTTCGCGGCCAGACCACTGCGACGAGGCAGAGATTCACGCGCGATCCGAACCCAAGCGTTACCACATTCGTTCACCCCCTTCAGGAGCAACTTGTCCTGCCGCAAACCTCAGCACAAGCTTTGGGTCTCAGCCTCTTTCCACAAATCTCACCTCCTCGGGGTTCCAGGGCGAGTGATCTTTCAGTAAAATTAGTTTGATTAGACAGGCATAAATGTACCTTGCTCACCTATATCCGGATTCACAACGTCAGTCCACCGTTTAGCACATTCTATATGAGGCTTGAACTTCATGCTAGGACACGAGAGATAAAACGACTCACGGTCCGCGCTCCGGGTCTCCATAATGGACGATACAAAGCACCATCTAAGGGCCATTAACCTTGCGCTCGGAAGCAGCCAGAAGAGCTGCTGGGCCACTCACGAGGTTCCCCATTTTGTGACTGTCTCAAGCAGTTTTTGGTCTTCTTGGGATGACCATCGCCCACGGTTAACCCTGCGCTCCATGTGCGCATACCATCTCTTCCTGCAGTCTTTATTTGTCCTACCCTCGACTTGCTTGGAGATGAGATGCCAGTGATGCGGCCGATGGTTGAGACTTTTCTCGACTAAATAAAGTTTTAATCAAAGAGGAGCCAGCCAGGACTTGAGGTGAAAGCACCTTTGAGGATCGCGGACCGAAGCTGGGCGTCCTCGGCTTCCGTCCAAAAGCGCCGAGGTCGGGGTTCATTACCAGTTTCAATAGCTTTGGGCATTATTATGAGCTTAGACGTGGAAAACAGTGAGATGGTGGGTGGTTTGTGGTGAAAGGTGGTTCGGGGTTACGCTTTCGTTAACGGCGTACCCCGGAGCAGGGGATTTGGGGGCCGAACGGTGTGCTTCTTCATCAAGCGTTCGGAACCGCGGGAGCAAAACTTCCTTCAGTGATGGACCAAAAGGCTGTTACTGCGCCTCCCTCGTTCCCGTCAGAGTGCCCCTGATTTGCTTATCAATAAGGCCCTGGCCGTTCGCTCATTGGACGGGATCCACCAGACAATTAGCTACAGTTATCCACAATTGCCACTCTTATTTGCACCGTCTCATGTGAGACACAACTACTCCCCTAGGACCGCTTGAAATTCCGACAAGGACCGAGACAATGGGACTCTCAAGGGCAAGTAAGGCATTGGTTACAAGGGGTCATATAACGAATGCTTTACTTGGTTTCCTTGTCCGAGAATGGCACAAGGTCGGCGGTGGTGCTTTCGGACGCCGTGATTTGGGGTCCCTTGGGGGCAATATGGGGTGTTCGGCATCACACATCTTTACTCCCGTACCAGTCATGTGCAGGTCTCAATGGCACGCCTAAGAAGAACAAATAAGCGCATGATTTGAATTATACAGGGTCTCTACCGCTCTCCGCTCACAATATTTTGGTCTGCTGAGAAGCATTAGCGGCATGGGCGGAGGGCTGAGAGTTCTGGAACTCAAGCGTACAGTTTACCTCATCCATCCATTGTGCCGAAGTAAGGGCTGGGGTTTCATTGGTTCGCCGACATCCCAACTTCGAGAATCGGGAATCCGTTGTATCTGGGGTACAAAATCATCGAATACTTTCTAATAGCGCTGAAAAAGTGAAAATAAGATGGCAGAAATGGCACATACAAGATGTGGTATACTTGAAATATTCTTCCTGAAGAGGGCGACTTCATAGACTTCCTTGCCGTGGTTCGCGAAGCTGATTCGAGCATTTGGTTCCTTATCGACGGCGGGCGCGTGTGTCTGTTTGACATATCAGTATCATTCAATGAAAAGGAAATAGCATACATTAGACGCGCCGTTCCCAAGGGCATCACGACCGGGAGAATATTCTATTACGACGCTAGTTCGTTTCGTGAAAATCTCTAAGTCTCACGACGTTGCCACAAGCTCAATCCAAGAATACATGCACGGCGATAACACGGTGTTGCCCATTAAGCGATGCGGGATGTATTTAGTTTCAGTCTGTTGTGTCCGCTCCGGCATTCGGAGCTGACCGCGTCGAATCTTGTTCCTGGTGCCCGATGATCCTCCACTATCGCCGGTCACTCGGCGATCTGCGGTCGATGTGATGACACAGAGAGGTTATTCAACAGGTAACAGCTTCCTGGTGCAGGGCTTATATTGAGCAACTCGAGGTCTTGTGAACCTCCACGTTAATCTGCTGTAGATGAGTGTAACTCCACCTATCGAAAAGTCACAGCATGACATGACTTTCACTTCCTGACTTGTATGGCCTGATTAAACGGAGCAGATATCACGGGGATCGTTCGCACGTGTCAAAGACAGAGATTCGCAACAACTGACAGCTGTGCTGGCAAGAAGTTCACGTGCGTCGCCCTTCGAAAGAAATGCCTCCGTGTAACTCTCTTTGTCCTTCTTCCAGCGACCACCAGTCACGGTTTGTGAATCCTGACTGTTCATCCCCACCCACTGCATAATACCTCTTCAATTTGGCACATAAACACACGTTGTCGTGTTCACTTATCTGTATGATACTCTCCGATTATGATGACTCCAACGAGGACTATGAGATGGACGACTATGATGATAAGGATGTCGCGCTGGCAGAATACGAGGAACATGGCGATGACGAATTGGACGAGCACGGGTCGTGGGACGATGACGATAATCTCTCTCCTCTTTATCTGGATAAGGGTCTCGATGAAGTAACGTACGAAATGGTACAAGAAGCCGTTACCCTGGCGCAAACGCACCTCCCCAACCCTGAGGGAATTCAGCTAACAGCTCGCGGGCCGAAGATTATGCTGCCCGTCGCTGATATGCATCCTGATACCCGGCAAGCCTGTGGATTGAGTGGATTCAAGACCCTGTTTGTGCTTCTGGACGTGACGAAAGGTTACAAGGGCAGCTCTCCTCCCCCCCTCATCGTTGCGTCTCAGGGTGATGATGGTCAACCGTCGACTTCTTCCGAGCGACCGAACCCCCGGTTCAGCATCGGCATACAATTGGTGAACTCAGTTCAGAGGTTCATAGAGGATCGATGGGTGAAGAAAGACGAATGATTTTTGCCAGGCTTGTACAATCGTACTATGGAACGTCTTGTCAACTGCGGAAACGTATGTATGTTGTGTGACAGTGATCTCGTATTCCCTGGCTTGAAACCAACTATCTGTGATGCTAAGCTCTGCTCATATCAACTTGACAAGCTTGGTATCGGCGCTGGATTGAATTTGATCGATACCGACGCCGTTGGTAAGTCTTTTCCACCAACAGCTCTTTCTTCCGGATTGACAGGTGCGCAGTGGCCGACTTCTTCATATGCGCGTGTATGGCAGCGGCTTCCAGTGGTGCTCGCTTACAGTTTGCTCTTCCTAATGTGCCTTCGGAACATGGCACTGATCTTGAAATTGCTCCACCGCGTATCGTCAAGGCTCTGGCTCTGACGCCGGTCTTAGCGGAATTGCCGAAAGACGACGATGCACGATCTAAAATACTGAAAGAAATCGATCCATTGCTCGAGCCTATCATACGCTGGATCCTCGCCACAAATCGTGCACATGTTGTTTCTCTACGAAAGTGGGAGCTTTTCCAGCAGATGAAGACCCCGCACCAATTCAAGATCAACACATCCACCCGAGCTCACGCATCGGCATTCGAGAGCATGAAACAACGTCACGGCAGTTTTTATGCCTGGCATGGATCGAGCATGGCCAATTGGTACGTTACGAAATGATTCCGATGCGTGCACTTGCGCAACGAACCCAGGCATAATATTCTCCGAAACAATCTTAAGAATGCCAGTAATACACCCATGATGTCCGCAGGAGCGGCGTATGGGCCTGGTATTTATCTTGCTAAGAACTCGACCACTTCTGCGCACTATACAATGAGTCACTGCCACGGTCATGGTCGCTTTTGGAACAGCCTCTTCGATTCAAACCCGCGGGTGCTAGCACTCTGCGAGGTTGCGAACGCTCCTCAAGTGCAGGTACACCCGAACACGGGTATCTACACGGCGGCGGAAGAGACCTGTGTGACCCTCCGTTATCTCTTCATTTACACCACTTCCTCACCACCTCCGATTGATGCTGAGGTGCTGAAACTCAAAAAATATCGAAACGACACGACACTCATTGGGATGGTTCCTGTTTCCCAAATTGACCCTAAGCTTCTGATCGTGACAAGCGATGATTATGCATGGGATATGCAGGAGCTCGTACCGTTCATCGAAAGCAAGCATGGCATATTCATCAATGCATACACTCGTCTGGGATTCCTTTCTAAGGATGTCCAAGCTATCATTCACCATCCAAGCGGTGAGGGGAAGCGATTGATCCAGCTTGAGCAGGAGAATTCGAATCTGTGGCAAATGATCCCATCTTGTGTGTTCGAGAGATTATCTGAGGTTGGATTGATCTGCGTCTCCCCGGTGGGAGAGGATTATAGCAGGAGCACGGAGGCCATTGTAGCCCTGAAGTCATATATCGATAATCTGCCCGAAACGGTCAAGGTTGCATTAGAAAAGGCACCGTTCGAAGTGGTGCGTGATTTCGGCGGTTTACAACACGATGATCTAACCACTATTCCATAAGTTGATAGCCATAGCAAGTTGCCCTTCCGGGATACAGTTATGCATGAGATCGAGCTGGTTACCTCAGCGGGCGACTGTGTTCACCGATTCGGAGACTTCCTCATGCAGGTCCAAAAGCAAACACCATCCACCCACAACGCTCCACTGGCTTAGTTTCACATTCCTTTCTGCTGCAATTGTATCACTCTAGACTAGTCAAATCGAATTCGAAGTTGTGGTTTCCATTCATTGGTGTGTTTCCTGGCCGCGACATATTTGTGTCATGATAGGTAGGGTGGGAGTTTATGAGACTGAAACACATAGACCCTCGACTCGGATAAAGGTACAACCTGACGTAAGGGTGGTGTGTGTCCCATAGTCTTTTCAAGCTTGCAGAGTTCACCAAGGTTTCTGGACGAAAGAAAGAGATGGTTGGCCGTACGCAATCAAGGTAGAGATGCAATAAGAAATCCCATTGTAGATAGATAGTACCCAGCGTGTACTGTAACCCTAGAACCGCGCGTAAATTCGTTCGCAGTCATTACCAGCCACTCTCCACTGAACTCCTCCAATGCTCCAAAGAAACTCAAGCCTGATGATGCCCATGATGCGAGTGGGCATGTGCCTCGGCCTCATGTGCCTCGAACTCGCGTTCGATCGCGTCGACCTGCGCGACCTGGGCGGCAAGCGGGTCGTCTGTTGGGCGCTCGTGCATGCCAACCTTCTCGACAGTAGCCTCGACGTGGTTGGTCATCAGCTCCTTGACACCACGGAGCATCGCGACAGCAATGATGGCCACGACAGTAAAGGGAATGATCGTGATCCAGGCATAGCGGTATGCGTAGGCGTATGTCCATTGGGAAGCGCTGGTGGCAGCAGCGAGGATGGAGTCGTTGATGCCGGGGACGGCGTCGAACCCTGCTCCAGTGGCGAAAGCAGCGAGGAGAGCGGAAACGGAGGATTCAGGAAGGCCAGCAGCAATAGCGGCGTTGCCCACATCGGTGCCGTAGTTTGTCAACTTGGAGTTGACGATCGTTCCCATGATCGCAGAGCCAAAGGCACCACCAATGGCACGAGCGGAGAAGGCGAGACCGGTAGCAGTGGCGAGGTAGGCGTGCGGTGCAGTGAACTGGGTGACGGCGACGAGGAGGGTGAGAGGGCCGGACTGACCGATACCGGAGAGAACGTTGTACCCGATCTGGCGGGAGTTGTCGTTTGGCGTGATGACGGCGTAGCAGACGCAGACGGCGAAGAAGACGAGGAAAGTGAAGATAAGAGGAGACTTGACGTCCTTATACCGGGTGGAGTACCAGCTGAAGCGAAGTCAATACTGTTGTTGGGAAGGATGAGGAAGAGGTACGCACATGATTGGGATACTGGCAAAGAGGGAGGTCAGGCCGTAGCTGAGCTGCCGAATGGAGATCTTCCAGCTGTCGGTTTCGAACCCAAGGTTGAGCACGATCTGAGGGGTGAACTGGGCCACAGCAGAGTAGAAGATGAAGCCCTCAACGCCGAACGCGAACAGGGAGAGGGGGAAGTTGCGACCACGCTGGAAGAAAACGTGTGCGGCGATACCGTCTGACCTGCCAAGCCACTCATAGATGCAGAAGGCGATGAGCATGATCAGGCCAATGACGAGGGGAGCGATGACGGCGGGGCTGCTCCAGGGGTAGGTACCGCTAGACCAATCGAAGGCGAGGAGAGCGATGGCGCTGCCGCCAACGAGGAGGAAGGAGCCGATGGGGTCGAGCATCCAGACGAGCTTGCGCCAGGGCATCTTGGGGTAGTCGACAGGTGGTGGGTGGTAGAATACGAGCAGACCGAACGCGGTGAATGCGTGGAAAGCGCATTGCATCCAGAAGATCTTGCGCCATCCTCCTGGCTGTAGGAGCGAATGTCAATGATCAGGTGCTGACAGATGAGAGAGAGGGGACGCACGTCAGAACGAATAACTGCACCAGAGCCCAATCCACCCACAGTACCTCCAATCGCACCAGCCAAGTACGCGTACCCGTTCGCGAGCGTCCTGTACTTCAAGGGGAGAACCTCGCTAGGAATACTCTGCACGATACTGATGGTCGCGAGCGTGCTACCTATGAGGATCCCTCCACCAACGAGCCAGGACATGTTCTTCGCTTCGGCGCAGAGGATAGATCCGACCACGGCGATGATGGGGGGAATGGCGGCCATGTATTTTCGGTTGACGAGATCGGAGAGACGACCTACGACGGGGGAGAGGGCAGACTGCATGAGGATGGGCGCTTGGACGATCCATCCGGACAGAGGGGCGTCGCCGAGATCACGGACGATGAAGGCAATAACGGTGGGTGCGGATGTGACGACGAACACTTGTGCGACTGTATGAGATGTCAGTATTGTTAATCTCCAACGTGCATGAGAAGGATGGGCGCACAGATGGCGAAGCAGCTGACGAAGACAGCGAGCCAGGAGCGCCAACCGAGCTTGACGTCGTCCTGCCCAAGAGCAATGACATGGTGTTCTGGCTTGACACCGTCTGGGGCACCTGCGGCAGTGGTGGATGGGGATTCGGCGTGGGCGTAGGCGCCCTTCTCCTCGTCGACGAAGGAGTGATCAGCGGGATTTGACATCGTTGCGCTGGAATCTTGAGGAGGTGGGGACGCGGAGGTGGGGTAAATAACCGGCCTTCTCGTGCTTCTTCCTCCAACTTGCAGGGCCTTTTTATCTCTCTCCTTCTATCTTCCCTGTCATTGACTTGTCAGCTAAACAAATCAACGTAATTTCCTGACTCATAATTGCCCTGCGCACGGAACATGTTCCGCCGTTACCCCTACTTCGGGTAAAGAAAATCCCCGCCTCCTCGGCAACAGAAGCTCACGGGGCCCCGCTCATAAGACTCAGCCAAGAAGCCATACCGGAATCAATCTCATTTGATGAGAAAATAATACCCATTCATTTGGCTTGTCTCCGTCTTTCCTTTTTCCCTTTTTCACTCATCATTTACGATTCAAATTTAATGCCACAGACCCTGTGCATCAAAAGAGGGCGTTGACTGGCCCTGGAGGGGCAAATAGATTACCCCGCTAAACGGAGCCTTTCTCCACGGGTATGATGTTTACGCACACATGTAGTTCCCCAATTTATCCTTCACTGCCCCTTACCTGCCAACAGACCTCAGTGGATCTCGTGCGATCCTCCTAGGCTGTACTCTCCACCGGTGCTCCGTGAGCGTGACCAGCAATTGCTAAGCCTCTCAGCCCTCCCCGGATGCGCTCCTGAGCAGCCCATCGGGGGACAGGAATCACCTGAGATCGAACTAATCCACGCTGCTTACCGTCGCGTTGCCAGTGTAAGCGACATAATGCGCACAACGGCGAAAGTGCGTCAGCCCGGGGACGGCAGAAGGAGAACACAGACGGGCCGACCAGAAGCACGGGCAACTATTGTTAGCCCTTAATTGCGTTGCACGTTGCAACCAGCAGCGTGATTACAATACACAGAACAATGAAGAATGATAGGCGCTAGGGCTAACTGGGGCAAGTGCCCTTTTGGCAAAAGCAATGTCGGGAACAAGCAAGCTGACACTGCCTGGCGGGGCGAGCGCTGATCCAGATCACCCAAGGTCCAAGACGCGCAGTAGGCTGGGACAAACAACCCAAGTTCGCTGGAACTTCAAGCTTTACGCTCACGTACCTCCAAGCGCCCGATCGGCAAAATAGCTCAACCCAGAAAGTCAAACCCCAGGAACGGAGTGAGAGACCAAAACCCCTAAACCAAAACCCCGAACCTAGAGGCAAAATGCGAAAGGAAAACCGGATCTCCTCGGGTCTCAGAACGCTTTCAATGTTAATCCAGAATGCTAATACCGGGGCCCCGTATCGCACCAATTCGGAGCTTCCTATCTTGGCGGCAACCGAGATGACCTGCTCGGTGGCCAGGAGACTCCGGAAGGGAATTTGACAGGCTACCGGAGAAGAACTATACAGAACCCCATCTGGAGCGCGTGATATACGCTATTTTCCTGCGTTATCCAGGACAGCTGTGCCTGAGGTGGTACCCGTGCGGCGTGAAAGACTAGGGAGATCAAGAAACATCGCAGGGCCGGAGAGAATTGCCGCCGTTATTTTTACCCGGCCACACTCGGCGCTTAGGGGCATTTCGGTTACTTCAGGGGTTCTGAAGGGTTGTATCGACGGGGTGTGTGTGTGCGGATGTGTATAATGGTTGCGTGGGGCAGACAGTGCCTTGATACAGTTTGTGGTAGGGGGTTTGATGTCTTGCCCAGATTGAAGCAATGGATCATCGCGACTGATTCACTTGAACACATGGGAAATGTGCAGGGAACGACGGGAATTATCGCATGACCTTCTGAAACGGGTGAAAAGCGAAAATAAGAGGTGCATTTCCATTGTGCGCGTTGTCTGCATCGATTGAGAAGAAACGACCCGAGGGTAGTTACATGCCGTGGAGCCGCCTCATCTCGCTTCCTAATCGTCGCGTACTTGATTTACGTCCCCACAGTTCTAAACTCGAATCAATAATCCAAGGCACAATCACATTCCCCGCGCGATATCATACTAGGCTGCCACTTGACAGCGCGTACCAGTTGGGCAATACCCGGCGCTCAGTCCGTTGAATACGCGTCTGTATGTGTGTGGGAGGAACCGGAAGACCTCGCAGGAATGTCGTAAGGCATAGTTTTCTGATCAACGGTCCAAGCGAGGACAGCCACAAGGCCGCTTTGTCTTCGTGCCCGGAACTGGGAATTTGCGGGGCTCCGAGCCGAGAAACTCGGTGTGTCAGGCGTTCACGGGAAGGCCCCCCTGACCGCAGTTCGCCGCACATGTTTGAGGAATTACAGTCGATCGAAGCTGAAAAGCTGCGGGTTGGGCCACTGCTCCGAGGCCGTTTGAAAGAAAATCGTCCATATGCCAGCCGTCGGCATAATGCACCTTATCGCATCTTGTCCTCGAATGTGCCGTAAATCTCCCTGCAAGCGTCTTCGATGTTGCTGCAGGAAACCAATCAGCCGGCATGGAACTCTATCACGAGGAATACTAACGCTACATGTGCGCAAGCAGACATGTTCGCCAGCAGGAAGAACCTGCACAAGATGTAAGGCAGGATTCATTACACCTGTGCATGGGCTCACCAGTATCTAGCAAAACCACCGGTCTTTACCGTCTTGCGGCCTTCTTCGGTGTTCGTATAGCGAGTGCTGACCAGCAGTGCATCGTGCACAAGATCCGAGGTCATTCGACCAGGGTTGGGTGTCTCGATCGGTAGGGGTATCTTGGAAGCCACAGAGGTGGCAACCAGGAAGAGTGATGTTTTGGTGAGCGTAAACATGCTGCGGCGATATGGAGATAAAGTGGAAATGAACTGCTCTGAAACCCACAGCGGGAAAGGCTCTGATCCTATGGCAGCAAGCGTCTCGCTCCAACGATCCATGAGCAGCTGATTGGCGCGCAGCACCCTACCGACGGCGTCACGCTGGAACGGGCGTTGCCAGTTAGGCTCCGCAGCAGCGAACCTGGTACTCATCAGGGATGAAATTTTCAGCACCCAGCGGTTACGTACGCGACGAGCTCATCCATATCCATGATCCGCCTCTGCAGGTCCGACTCCCCTCGCTTCAGGTCACGCTCTACCTTGTGAACAACCTTCGGCGAAGGCAAATCAGCAGGATCGACTAGTTCAACTGGGACCGTTGTCAGCACTTGGTCTATCATAACATGTCCAAATACGTACGCGCACGGACATATGCTTGCAACATCGTGACATATGACAGGTGGTCTTCTATCAAACGAGCTAGTGCCACGCGTAAGGCATGTCGGGCTGGGCTGCGGAGGATGAGCAGCTGGAAGCAGAACACGATTCCCAGTGCAACGGCTAGAGCAGCCAGGCCGATCGCTTGAGAGGTGGTTAGCAAAGCCCAGCAGCATACATGCTAATATCCACCTGCTGAAAATGGCGGCGAGTTGAAGTTGGCAGCAGCCTCGTCGACCGTATTGACATACACCGTCAGGATAGTAGCTCCGCAGCTGTTCTATCGTCAGATCTCTTGACAGACCCCAGTATGCAGAACGCACCTGTTCATCGCCAACAAGCCAAACAGGAAGAGCTCTGGCTATATGGAGATCAGCAACGTTCCAGGGCCACTGTCTTTCTCTCCCACCTTCTCGTTCACGCAGTATGCGAGAGGGAACGCATATACCGCCAGAAGACACGCTATCCCGTAAGGGTTGTAGAGATACCCTCTATAGTAAGGGTGTGAATAGGCATTCCGCTCATTCGTTGAATGAGATGTGTAACTCACCCAACATGACGAAAGATCAGCAAGATGATCATGGCGGCGATATTACCGATAACCGTTCCTAGAATCTGGATGATGAATGACAGCCATGTTGCACCTTTCTCGCTGATCAGCAATTTGGACAAGAGCAGTAGAGAGTGCTGCGTACCAAGAGTGCTTGCAAGAGCAAGGATCAGATTAGGAAGTGCAGTCTGTGAGATAGTGAGCTTGCCAGGTCAATATAGGACCGGTCGGGTGGTGCTCACAATTAACGCGTATGATATGAACCACCCGCGGACCACAGGAGCCCAGATGAGCACGCAAAATACGCAAAGCTGCCTTTCATCAGCTGTGCAAAGTAAAGCCGCCGGAAATCGCTTACTGCCAAAGTGATTTTGAACGCATACACGCTGGTCGGTGATCTGAACCACTTTTCTACAGCAAGCAGTCTCTGCCCGAAAGTTACCTGCTCCGGGACGTACGCTCGGTGCTCAAGCTCGCAGATCGCTTCCTGTATAGAGATGTCTGACTCCCACTTTGCTTCTTCCGGGGAGGGTCGCTTCGGGATATAGCTGCGCAGGACGTCGAGAATATGCAGCTGAAGGCGCAGTCGACGCTTCTTCCCACGGGAGGTTGTGGTCACCTCAGCGTGCATGGCCTGCACTTTGCTCATCATACGACTGCCCTATCATTAGCAGCAGCACGAGCGGAACACATCATACGCACTTCAAAGCATACAACAGCGAGTATACTCTAACCAAAGCATGTCCCGTTCTGAGAGCATCCGGGTCCTCCATAGGTTCCGCAGACCTCACCATCCCTCTCCACCTGGTCGCCTCCCTCCCCCCTGTCTCACGCTCTTCGTCGAGGTTCGGACAGTTTTCTTCCGCCACGTTATGCGTTTGCGGATGGATTTCATACGCCATCATATCCTTCTTTTTGTCCAGGGCTTCCTGCACCCCCCGGACGCGGTCGGTGCCCCACGAGTCAGCGAAGCTCCGCATCGGCTGGAAAAGCTTGAGCGCATTGTTCGTCAAGTCTACTGACAAGCCGCCAGAAACAAGGAGATGAGCCTGAAAATCCAGAAGCTTCTGTGCGAAGGCATCAAAATTGACCCGCAGAGATTTGGCCACGTCGGAGGCATAGGCAGTGACGGTTTCGCTCGAGTGAGGGATGTTGTCCTCAGGTGATCGCTTGCCGAAGAGTTGTTGGTCGACTAATGTTCGACCTTCGGGAGTGGGGATATGAGTGAGGGTCTCAATCGGGCCAGCCGGTGTCTCGCTGTCCCTAGCATTGGGAGCGGCGGCTCGCGCAGCAGAGGCATCAGCTTTGATCGCCTCCTGCCTCAGCCTGCAACCGACATCCTCCATTATACGCTGCTGATCTCCCTCTGAGCCTTCCTCCGCACTTGACTCCAACTTCTCTCCTGCTGCCTGCTTCTCCACGTCCCCTCCTCCATCGTCCTGATGGTCAAGGAACTCGTCGGGTGCGATCTCTCGCATGATCTCGGCGAACATCAAGCAGAGCGATCTTCGTAAAGCACGGAACTCCTCCTCGCAAGACGGGAGAAACTGTTCTTTGAATGTTTCGATGGACTTGTTTTCCTCACCAGTGAGGAGGCCGTAGTAAGAGGCGATGAGCATGTTTTGCAGGGCGTGGGTCTTTTGGACGAGAGAGCGGTAGGAGGCCATGGACCATCGGGAGAGACAGAGCTCGAAGGTGGTTTCGCCCAGCAGCTGGTTGAGAGAGCGAAAGTCTGTCTGTACGGAATACTCAGTATTGGATAGTAGGTGGGAGACGGGTAAGGCAAACGGACCCGCAGCGACAGCACCAGTTGTTCCATCACCACTCGCTCCTCCTGAGTCAGCTCTTCCATATATCCCTTGTTAACAAGCAACATCAAAGTCCTCGCATGATCCAAACTCGTCGCGATCGCCCCTCTGAGCTTGGACTCGGCCGTCCTAGGCAGAAGGCAGATGTTGACGACCAATACGCACGCGCAGCCGAATGCGTAGGATTGCAGGTATGCACGGAGCTGGGAGCCGGAGAATGAGGTGGTGGGGGATGCGAGGGATGTGAATATTCCTGTGAATGTTTGGAGAATGGCTAGCAGGGAGAACCCCAGGTAGGTCAAGCCTTGGGCGTGGACTAGGGAGAGTACTATCTAGAAGTGAGTGGACATCGAGTACAGGGAGGGAAGAACATACGGTACGCCATCACAGCAAACACTACGCCTTGCGCTACGGGCGTGCCCGCCAGCTTGCCCATAATGAAGAAGTTGAGCGAACCCACAAGCACCCCCGCAAGGTTGAGGAAGATGTTCATGATGCATGCTCCCAGTGACTGCCCAGGCAAGGACGCGATAGTGATAATTACACCGCCTGTAAACCAATAAGCAAATAAACTAGATGGAATAGAGAGTGAATACGCACTAGCAAGCGCTTGGGCGAAGGGGCTGATCTCTGCATAACCCAATATAAAGCTGAGGATGATAAGCAGTTCGTACGCCAATACACCTGTTTCTTTGTCAATGGTGTTCAGCTCTAGTGGGCATATTGACACACCTTTGAGAGTTGGTACAACCCGTTTTGAGAATGTAAATCTGAGTGCTGCTTTGACTGTTCGCATAACGTTTGCACTGAGCTTTTCCCTCGTTATACCCAACACGCCGCCTATTGAACAATTAGGACACACAAGCAGGCAAGTCAATAATACATACACCTCAGAAATACCCCTGCTCAATGCTCAGCAAGGCAAGCCGAAGATACCGGGTACTACAACGATCCGAAACATAACTATACCACACCTTGGTGCGCCGTGCACGCACTGGTTCACCGTGCTTACTAAACGAACCGTTTCAGGACCTTCGCTCGCGATTTGCCTGCGACTCATGTCGTGATTCATATCGGCGCAAATGATGCTTCGGTAGGACCAATTACAAACTGAGGAATAATGAAATGACAGCATGGCAGACCACATACAATATCTCCGAGCCATCATTTCTGAGCGTAAGCATTTCCTTCTTAGGAGGCGTCTTGGCTCATTCAAACGTCTTCCACAGACCTACGAGACGTTCGTTACTGAGCTCCGTGTCTTCTATCCCACTCAACCGTTCTTCATCTTCACTCCCTGGGTACGTTCCGGAGCCATCCGTCGCCCAGGAAGTCCTAACATCATTCAACAGGGATGGCCAGCGGCCGACGGTACCGTCAGCTACTACTACACCTCGCCTTCCCCATACGCCCAACTCGTCCAGAACCGGAATGACATGGGCGACTACAACATCTTCCTCGTGAACACGACCGGATGGGTATCCTGGGCTGATGTTTTCCCGACGAATCAGCATCCCACCGAGGAAGGACACGTCAAAGTTGCGGCTCAGTTCACAACCTGGCTGACGGAATGGGGCTTGTCACCCCTCTCATCGTGGGCGACACCAGCTGTGTAGCGCAGATCTAAGCCTGCTATTGTCTTCGTAATCAAACGTCATTTATCGTACAATTTTGGAAGGTACTCCATTGTCCTAGTGGGAACGTGAGGCTTGGAAGAGTCATGTGTTACCTGGAGGTTTAAGGTCTGCCTTTGAATACCTGCAATTCGAATATTTCGAAGTGCCGGCCCATTCCCTACCCATCCAGAAATAGACATCCCTTCACACACGTGACGACGCGCCAAGAATACATGCACACGCGATTTGAATAAGCCGGCTATATCCGCACAACCCGATGGTTCTTTCCGCTCTACATCTCTGATAGAACCAAACTACTTTCTACGCCCCTCAATCAATGCTCTCGGGTGGTTGTTAATGCGTATCTTGTCCCTAATGGAGAGCGGTGGGGGCTGAAGAACCGCGAACGGTTCATATTTGACCAGCTGATTGCGAATCGGGACTCTCTGTTCCAAGGATCACTCTTGTGTTCACATGGAGCCCATAACGAACGGATGAGATACTCCGCGCACGGCGTGCTTTATTGTCTACAAACGGGTTATAAAACTCATCAGTTCTCTGGCAACAACAACCCCTTGGCATCGTCGATCTTCACCTTTTCGTACATGCGAGAATACACTCCCGAGCATTCTGGATTTACTTCGCAGACAGTTCCCCATGCAATAGGATGGCTGGCGGCCGATGGTACCGTCGGTTATTACAAAACCTATCCTAAGCCCGGGCATTCATCGGAATGCTCGGAATTCTTCGAATCTTTATTGAAGGCCTCATGCGAATCAACATCCCACCGAGGAAGGACCCATCAATATCGCGGCCCAGTTCACAACCTGCCTCACGGAATGACGCTTGTCACCGCTCCCATTGTGGGCAACGCCTGCCATGTTCTTCGTGTTCAGGCGATCATCTGTCGTACGATCTCGCAAGGTGCTCCGCTGCTTCCCTCAAGCGCGTGTGAGGCTTGGAAGGGACATGATGCGGTACTTTGAGGTTCAATCTCTGCCTTCGAATGCCCCCTATTCGAACATCTCGAGGTACCATCCATAGCCGATCCATCCAAAAATAGACACTCCTTCACACACGTGACGACACGCCAAGGATATGTACGTGCACACGCGATTTGAATGAGTGGGTCATATCCGAGCAAATCGGCGCTTCTTTCCACTCAGCACCTCTGATGAAGTAGCCAAAGTGCCTCGATTTACCCTCTCGGATGGTTTTTGATGAGTATCTCCTCCCTAATCGAGAACAGTGGGGGCTGAAGAACAGCGGACCGTTCATATCTGACGAGCTGGTTGTGAATCGGCTTTCTCAGGTACCAGGTTCTTTCGAAGGACGAGTGTGTCTGGCAGGAGAGACGCGTCGTGTTCACATGAAGCCTATACATAATGATCGGACGAGGTGCTCCGCGGATGGGGCGCTTTATTGTCTACAAGCAAGGTATAAAAGGGCTCAGCTGTCTGATAACATCAACCCAGAGGCATCGTTGATCTTCACCTCTTGGTACGTCCGAAAACCCTCGCCCGCATATTTGGAGACTTACTATCCCTCCAGAATTTCAGATCGTCATGTTTGTCACCGTCATCGCAGCCTCGATCGCACTCACGTTCACCCGCATGGTCCTTGCCCAGGCCGGCGTGTCGTGCATCACGTACGGCGCCACGTCTTGTCCTTATGCAGGGGCTACAACAACCGACCTTCTGAACCTCATATCCGAATTCTGCGGTGACAATGGTGGCTGGCCCTATTACCAATATACCGGAGAGCTCGATATCTCGTTCCCGTACCAGGGCTATTATTCGGTCACGAGCAATGGCCCGGGATACTTCGATCAAGACACTTGCAACACTGCGCTGAACCACATCGTCACCGAATGTGACTCGCCCGGCACCTTCTGGGTGCAAGGCGAGTACCAAGACCCTGCTACCGGCATATGGTTCTCAGTCATTCCTTGCCAGTTGGCTTAGGGTCTGCGCTGGATGTTTTGTAACGGAGCGCCCAAGTAGTTAAGAACTCAAGCGCACTGCGCTTGTCAGCGTCGTTTCGCGAGATCAGCGCGATCGAGTCCAATAAACATTGTTTTAGGAAGCGATCTTTCGAAGTTGCCTGTGTGATGCTGGAAGGACTGAACTCGATACTTTCCTACAACGTTTCATGTCTCAGCGAAATATGTTGTTCGGGAAATAGTACAACGTAATGGTGCAATCAGCTGCAGCAGCCGTCATCGGTGCGTCGGGCCGATCAGCTGAGTGCGGACACCGCCACTGCACCCCCACGGGTTCAGTTGAAATCCATGTGTGACTGGCAGTGCAGGACAACGACCATCGAGGCTTCAACAATTGAACACCCGCGAATACGAGAATACACCTCTTCTCCTAGATCCGTTCCACTGCTCGAACACAGTTGGATCTTACCATATCGCCAACTTCAATTCAAAAACGTCACGAGGTCTGAAAGGCTCATGTAGAAGCCCTTGAAAGTCTGGTCCCTTCCTCTGAATACCGCCGATTCAAGCTGATTCTTCAACTCCTTGCCCAAAGTAGGCGCTCCTTCACACACGTGACACTTCACCGAGGACACACTCGCACGCCATTCGCATAAGTCGGTCATAACCGGACGACCCAGCGCTTCTTCCTTCTGACCGTGTATGACCAAGTAAGGAAAGCAATACCCACGGCTTTGATCTATGCTCAACGGATCATCTGGTTATGGTCACCTAGCTGGGAATCAAAGCTCTCAAGCTCCAAGGTTCATGTAAGAACGCCGTTCACAAACCATCATCAGCCCAGGTATTCTTCACATGAGCAGCTCCATTCAGTCTCAAACAGTGTATACAACGGGACTGTTCTCCGCCATCATCTTCTCAGAGGCATAGCTGATCCTCACTTTCAAGTACGTGCCAAAATACTAATCAGAGTGTTCTGGACTTACATTTATGGTTTCAAATCGTCATGTTCGCCTCCGCCATTGCAGTCTCGGTCGCGCTCGCGTTCACCAGCGTAGGCGTTGCCCAGGACGTGCAGTGTATGACCTACGGCGCGACGGCCTGTCCTTATCCACAGGCAACCTCGACCGACCTTCAAAACATCATATCCGAGTTCTGCGGCGACAATGGCGGCTAGCCTTATTACCAAGAAACTGAAGCGCTCGACATCCCCTTCCCGTACCAAGGCTATCACGAAATCACGAGTGATTACCCAGGAGGGTTCTCTCAAGCAACTTGCAACAGTGCACTCAAGCACATCATCACCGAATGTGATGCGAAGGTCAAATTCTGGGTGACTGGCGTCTACGAGATAGGCGGCGTCACATTCTCGGTTACTCCTTGCGAGCTGGCGCAGTATACGATGCGACAGAACATCAGGACGTCTTGTAATCAAGCAGACAGATACCTAAGAATCCGACCGTTTTGTATTTTTCACGCCATACAATCGCTACGATTGCCTATCACGATTCAATTACCAAGCAATCGCCCCGTAGGCTCAGTCAGCCGCGGGACCACAGTGCTTCAGCATCAGCCCGAAGGCTATTAACGAGCTGAAAAAACTTTGTTCAAACGCCCAAAACTCCAAGAAGCAATTATCGTATATTGCGTGGTCATTAGACTGCCGAGGGAGGCCTCAAGCTCCCCCAAAGGAGGCATCATTTCACACACGTGACGCGAGACAAAGGTGAGACCCTCGTTTCACGACAGCTTGTTCCCCAGTTGCTGAGTCAGTACGTTCTTTGAAAGTTCTGCAAACCAGCCCCTATTTTCCTATCAATGATGGAGGGACAGCGGAACGGTGACAACGCTTGCTCTCGCTTGTATCGTTCCTAAACCGGACGTCGCTGGTAATGGCTCCTGCTTTGATAGGATGTACTTCTCCAACGTTCAATGGAGCGTGGTATTCGACACAAGATATAAAGCGGGAGTGCATTCCGCCATGGACAACCCGTAGGCATCGTCGAACTCGACCTTCGGTATGTTCCTCGTCACCACGATACCTAGTAGGTTGGCACTGACGAATCCCAAATCAGGTAGCCATGCTTTCCACTCTCATCGCAACGTCAGTCGCCTTCGCCCTCGCTCATACCGTCCTTGCACAGGATGTGCAGTGCCTCACTTACGGCGCTACCGCCTGTCCTTATACCGGGCCCACCCTAGACGACCTTGAAAGCCTCATATCGAGATTCTGCGGTGATAACGGGGGATACCCTTACTATCAATACTACGAAGACCTCGAGGCTACGCTTCCTGTTGAAGGGTATTATCAAGTCACGAGCGGCGATCCCGGGAGATTCTCCCAGAATACCTGCAACAGCGCATTAAACCACATCATCACCGAATGTGATGCGACGGGCGAATTCTGGGTGACTGGTATCTACGAGACAGACGGCGTAACTTTCTCGGTCACTCCTTGTGAGCTCGCTTAGGGTACTTCACATGACGGCAGGTCAGGACCTGTTGTAATCAAGCGATCAACAATTAAGAAAGCAAGCGCTTTTGCTTGTCAGTTACATTCGACATTTATTTGGCGAGCTGCAAGCCACTATCACCCCTGCGTCCCAACTACCAGCCAACAGCCAGGTTGAAATCCAAGCCTCACCGCAAACCCTGTGGTCCAGAAAGCACCTCTGGCCTTTGTTTCCCCTATCATATGGGAAGACAACCTTCCGCTGTCCGTCCTTTGACTTGCAGAAGTCTTCTCGGTTAGAACGAACAAAAACGATCAGTGACAAGCTATCATGCACCGCCTGTTATGACCTTTCCTTCACATCCGTGCCTGATCGTAATCCGTTCCCGTTTCTTCCCGGTTTGGGTCTGGACGAACCATGATGCTACCTGCCGATGCTTTTGCGCCTACGTGCTAAAAACTGCCGCCTCTCGACCCATGGCACTACGCTGATGCTGGCCTACAATAGTGTTGACAGCAAGCTTTCTATCACCAATGTTTACTTCGTTCAATCTCGCCCAGATTATTGCCAACCCGTGCGAGGGCCTTTATACGCATCTCAAGTAGGGCATTGGAACATTCCACAGTGATCCCCTGCTCTGGAAGTGCAGCAGTCAATGGTACTGTCAGCTGCGACTACACACAGCTTTCACCATATACGCAGCTCGTCGAATGTCATGGGTTACTACGACATCTTCCCGTGAGCACAACCGGGTCGATATCCTGTCCGGACGTTTGCCCGACTAATCAGCATCCCACCCACGAAGGAGACGCCTGGCAGAATCCTGGCTCAGCGAATCGTCCCGCCGCTGGGGTGGAAAGGATCATTGTTTCCATCATGGACGACGTCTGCCCATATTGTCGATAGCGGCGGGTAGAATGCTTGTTCTGTTCTTCGTCAATCGAAATGTTCGCCCATGTATCGTATGATCTTGCAAGGTCCTCAGCTATTATAGTCAAGGAACGTTTGTAAGGTTCAGGTAGAAGAACGGAGTCGGATCCCTGAAATTCACCCGATCTCAGCAGCTCAAGGTGCCTATGCGCGAAGGATGACGACTTGAACAAACCGGTGACAACCCGATCAAACCCGCGCTTCTTCCTGCTCGACGGGTCTGATGAAGTGCGGAAAACACGATTCGTGCACGTTAATCTATGCTCTTCCCGTTCCCAGCTCCAAGGTGCATTGGAAGGATCACCCCTTCTGGATGGGAGGTGATGACTTGTGTTCGCATGGAGCTTGAAACCGATAATTCCAAGTCCTCTACCGACGAAATGCTCCGGGAAGTTACAAACAGGGTATAAAATGCTACTGTCATCTACTATGACGAACCTAGAGGTGTGTCGTTTATCTTCCTCTTTGGTACGTGCCCCAAGGGACTGAGATTTCTGGACTTACCTCGTTTACTTAGAGCGTCATGTTTGTCACCGTCATCGCAACCTCGGTCGTGCTCGCGTTCACTCGCGCCGTCCTCGCTCAGGGCGTGCAGCGCGCCAATGATGGCTACTTGGCGTGTCCTTATCCATAGGCCACGCCGGTAGACCTCCAGAGCCATCTCCGAATACTCTGGCCACAACTGTAGTTACCCTTATTACATGTATGATGAAGAGCTCGACGTCTCGTTCCCATATCAAGGCTATTACAGCGTCGCGGTCGATTTCCCCGGCACCTTTTCCCAAGCAACTTGCAACAGCGCGCTAAACTACGTCGTCACCGAGTGCAACGCGAAAGGCGAGTTCCGGCTCACTGGCTGGTATGAGACGGGAGGCACTACTTTCGCTGTTGTTCCTTGCGAGCCAGCGTGAAGGTGTGTAACGCGTACAGCGTGTGGAGTAAAGGGGCGCGCATGCGTGAAGAACGAGTTGTCAAATCCCATGTGAATGGATAAAGTTGTTGGTGTATGTCTATGGGCCAATAGACAGACTATACGGCTCTACTAGTAGGTGTAGCAAAGGCAACCGCACAAATTCAGAATAGACGAGGATGTGCAGACGGTTCATCGGGACTTCCCCTTCCGAGCCGATCAACCGATCAGCCGAACAGCTACCAACACTGAACGCGTCCTGCCCCGTACCCTCCATTGCAACGTGCGTTCTGTATCAGTATCCACACATGAAGCAACAATTCGCCTCTGCTTTTGATACGTTTCTTTGCTAGTGTCATATAAGGGAGCAAGGACCGTTCAATCCACGCCAGAAGCCTTGAGGAGGGCAGAATCGAAGGCTTGCCACCTGCTACTAGGCGCTGTCTATGTCAAGCTATCGAATTCTCTGCGTTCACTCACGCTTATATTCCAAGAAATCGCTTGCCTGGGCACTCCTTACCCCTCCACGGTTTGGCCCAAGGGAACTCCATCGTCAACCCCGGAAGTTTCAGGCTGTATTGGGCATACATATCAAGGGCTGGCATTGACACGAACTTCGCCCACAGCTGGATTCCAGTGCTTGAGTTCTATCACCACTAAATCATTTTTCACCGTCGATTTATAGATATGTTTCGCGTATATTTCCACCTACCCGGATGGCGCTACTGAAGTCTCTAAAGAAGAATGGGCAGCGGCCGACGATACTGTAAGTACTATACAACGCCTTACACATATGCGCAACTCATCGAAACTCAGAACGCCATGAACGACTACAACATCTTCCTTGTGAAAACGACCAGTTGGATATCCTGGGTACGTTTTATCCGTCAACATTGCCGGGCCGCCAACGCCTTTCGTGTTGGGCTGCCCAGTTCCTCAGCTGGATGGAGCGCGGATTATCACTGTTCTCGTCGTGAGCGTCACCCTGTGCGGTAGCGGGTAAGATGCTTAATTTGCTTTCGTACTGAAATAATCACATATCCGGCCCGTCTTGCAAGATTCTGTGCTATTTTAGTGAGTGTGAGGTTTCCGAGAGATGCAGAAGTCCCCTGAGGTCCAGTCCCTCCTTTTGAATACGGCCGATTTGCCCAGATCTAGGACCGCCCAAAATAGGCACCGCTTCACACACGTGATGTTATTCCGAGGACACAAACACCCACGATTTGAATGCCTTGGGTATAAGTAAGCGGATTAACACTTCTTTTCCCTTAGCCCATCTGATGAAGCTCAGAAATTGAAGTACCACAGCCGCACGTTGATTTCCGCTCTGCTCCGGAACTGTTTCTAGCTTGCATCGAACCCTCCATTGAGAAAAGGCCGGGCACGAAGGATAGCGGATTGCCTGTATTTGGTGATGTACTTGGGAACCGGCGTTCTCAGCTGCGCATTTCATTGGAAGAATGAAGTGGTCCGGATGGGCTGGTGACCCGTCTGGACATGGAGTCGAGGGGCTGAACCGCCGGCCGGTATCTTCATTCAGTTACAAACAGGTATAAAACGGGACAGTTCTCCGCCATGATCACCCCAGAGGCATTGTTGATCTTCATCATCTGGTGCGTGCCAAAACAAACCCCCGAGCATTCGGACTCACCTTTATGGCAGATCGTCATGTTTGTCACCATCATCGCAACCTCGCTCGTGCTCGCGTTCACTCGTACTGTCCTTGGTCAGGGCGTGCAATGCGAAAATGATGGCTACTCGGCTTGTCCTTATCCTCAGGCCACCAACGCCGATCTCCAGGACCTCATCTCTACCTTCTGCGGCGACAACGGTGGCTACCCCTACTACATGTACGAGGAAGCGCTCGATCAGTCGTTCCTGGTTCAGGGCTATTACGAAGTCACGAGCGATCGTCCCGGAGGATTCTCACAAGCGACTTGCAACAGCGCGCTGAACTACATCGTCACCGAATGCAACGCGAGGCCGGAATACTGGCTGACTGGCTCGTATGAAACGGGAGGCGTCACCTTCTCCGTTACCCCTTGCGAGCCGATTTAAGGCATTTCTTTGAGGTGTCTAGTAGGGAAATGGGGAATGTAGTAAGGAAGGAGTTGTCAAAGGTCATACGTACGGAGAGGTTATATCATGATGATTTGAGAAGAGTCCAGTCGGTCGGACAAGATCCGGACGTGTCACCCCGGCCGTTCCATCAGTCACCACACCAACTATCCTGAAGCTCATCCATTAGCGAGACCACAACGACACGAGTATCAGCGCGAAAGCTATTGCCGGTGATTATGCGGATGTTCTAATGACGTCTGCAGACGCCGCGAGACCGTCCGGTTCAATTCAAAACGAACTTCTGCCCGACCCGGCTGACCAACCATATTTCGTGAAGGTTCTGCGAATCTACTGACTTCCTGATGGAGAAATTCGGGACGATCATGACAAGTGATCACTCATTCCTGTCTGGCAATCTCACAGTCTCTTATGGATTCTCACTTGCAATGCTCATAGGACTCACGCGGGGGAATAAGAAATCTTTTCGAGATGGAAGCCCGCACAACTGTAACCGCTCAATGGAGCGATGAAATGAGAAACACAGTTCGAGGCGAGCTATAAAGCGGGACAGCAGTCCACCATGGTCAAGGCAGACGCACCGCCGCAATTGACATTCAGTACGTTTGTCGTGGCCGTGATATAAAGATTGAGCCTTACCAATAACAATTCAGATCCAGAGCCATGTTTTCTGCTCTTGTCGTCACGTCAATCGCCTTCGCTTTTGCTCGCATGGCTCTTGCTCAGGATGTGCAATGCATCACTTACGGCGCCACGGCGTGTCCGTGTACACCGCCGACTCTTGACGACCTCCAAAACCTCATTTCCGAATTCTGCGGTGATAACGGCGGATATCCGTACTATGAATACTATGAAGACCTCGAGGCTACGCTGCCGGTTGAAGGTTATTATCAAGTCACAAGCGACAGGCCCGGTGGGTTCTCTCAGGCGACGTGCAACAGCGCCCTGAACTATATCATCACCGAATGTGATGCAACGAGCGATTTCTGGATCACTGGCGTATACGAAACAGGCGGCGTGACCTTCTCGGTCACTCCTTGCGAGCTGGCATAAAGTATGAGAGGATAGCGGATGTCTTGTCATTTAATCGGCTGAGTAATTAAGAAGTCAAGCGCCCAGTGCTTGTCAAGTTTATTCGAGTTGTTTTCATGAGAGCGGTGCACAGGAGTGCTTGAGTGCTTGACATACTCGCAAATGCCGTCGAATTGTCCGCCAGTCGAAAACTGGCCTCGCTTGATGGGCAATTGAATACCAAAACGTGAGAGTTTGCTCAGCGGGCCAAGTGCCTGACAATGAACCGAAATGAACGCCCTCGGAATACAAAAGCCGACGTCTGCACAGAAACATCCAAATTCGGAGTATCAACCCTGCTTCTTATTGACGAAGCCAGTAAATTGCAGAATTCTCGTTCCTGGGGGGCGCAAAGAATAGATGAATTTTCACACGTGACCCTGAGCACGCGCTCACTTTGTTGACACGACTTCGCGACGACCGTGCCCATCTCGACCTCTCTGCACCCTCCCTTCTGCCCGATATTGAATGACAAACCTTTACCGCTGCTTAGCCCCCAGTCTGGACTTTACTGATCAATTCTATCTGTACCATCATATTCTGAGGTCTACCCTTGACTCGTGATCCACCTTCTGGTCGGTACGGGTAGAATTGGCTTAGTGCTCCGAGGTGTGTTCCGATGGATACAGATGCACAAGATAGGGGCATATACGCGCCGGCGGGAGAACTCATGAACTTGCTGCTTGGAGATTCTCATTTCTGCGAGATTGCAACCATCATACAGTCAGGACCATCTGGACTACAAGGATAGAATGCCCGGATGCACTGTGTCCTACTCGTTTTGAATATTGTGCTTTGTCAGCCGCTTGGCCTCTCCTGTGCAAGTCAAACCCGATGCCTGGACTATAAAAGACTGTAGCTATTCTGCTGAGTAGAGTCAACCGACTCAGTCAGTTGACCCATTGGTGCGTCGTAGAGACAAAGGAAGAAAGAGCAATACTGAATCGATTGCAGCTGCACCATGTCTTCCAGCATTTTCATCGGCTCCCTCCTACTTCCCGTCTTGAAGGTGGTGTCTGCTCAAAGCGTCACGTGTTCGACCCTTGGAGCAACTTCCTGCTTCCACGAGCTACCGACTACAGCCCAGCTGGAAAGCCTCATCTCCGAACTGTGCGCGAGCAGTCAGGAAGACCTCGAGGCTACCCTCCCCGATGGAGGAGTCTATCAAGTCACAGCTAACCCGCCCGGCGTGGCTTCCGATGCTTCCTGCACAGCGGCGTTGAACAACATCATCACCGTGTGCGACGCCACGGGCTTCTGGGCGACGGCTGTTTATGAGACCGGCGGCATTACCTATTCCATTACTCCTTGTGATATTGCTTGAGATTTGGATATCAGCCAGTGTTTTTTGTAATAAGAATTCTAGCACTTCGTGCTGGCAGTTGTCTTTTCTTTCTCTCTGACGATCGACGAAACTGCTTCATCTCCTGTGCTGGATGTGAATTTGGTCCTATGTGCGCCAAAGCAAGCTGGGAATTGCGATCGGCGTCATTCCCAAAAGCTAGGATGTCTGATCATAGGGAGAATACTGTCCAACACACGCTCAAGTTCTAACCTGCATTTGGTCGATCTCCCTCCAAAAGTGCCTGAAGGCCGACGACTTCCTGATGGCGGAACATCGGACTTAGTACTCCCATCAAGGAACACCGACTCGTTGAGTGCATAAAGGACGCGAGGCAATGAACGATTGACATTGAAGCTGCAGAGTTCGACCTCATTGGTATATTTGCACGCGTTTCGACAAGTACGTCGCCTACAAGAACACTTCAACACGCTACTGACAACGAAGGCTAGTTCGAGCAAGATGTTTTTCCGCGCGGCTTTCCTGCTGATGGTCCCAGTTATGGTTTGGGGCCAGTTCACGTGCACACCATTTATGGTCGATGGTTATCCATCCTGCCCCTATGCTGTCGCGACGACGAGCCAGCTGGAGGCTCTGATCGATGAATACTGCTCGAACAGCAACACTCCTTGCACAGCAAACGGTGGATTGCCATGCTACGAAGGCATCGGAGACATCACCGCTCGCACTTCGGATGGGCAGAGCTACTACGAGGTAGGGGGCAGCCCTCCTGGCAGCTACAGTCAATCCACCTGCTACGAAACACTCCAATCCATCGTCACCGAATGCAACTCGGAGTTGGGAGACTTGTGGGAGTGGGGAAGTACCGAGGTCGAGGGGGTGATCTTCACGGTTCTCACCTGCGCACTTGCTAAAAAGAGAGTGCTTTCACCAGAAGCTTCGAGACCTTATGTAAAGACGTTTCCTCTCTCTGTCTGGTCAAATTCCTTCCGAATATGTTATTTAGGTGGGCCAAATGAAGTTCCCGCCTGGTTAGAACTACCCATGTTACACGATTTCCTCAGGGCGGTCCTGCGGTCGTCATTCAAGTCTACAACCTGACGTGAGTAATAGACGCGTGAACGTCCCCGTCCTCGGCCCTGCTCACGCTGGGCTACGGTGCTGCGATATCCTCCTTCAGACGCTTGGCTGTCAGTGAGATTTGTCTGTGACGATAAACACCGATGTCCGATAACACGACAGAAGATGGAGTGATTATGAAGACCACCTCTCTTCCAACGGCAATGGAAGCCAATATTCGAAGCAGTCAATCACTCGTGGGAATTATGACAAACGGGCGGCGTGCTTGCGGTGGGATGAGAAATGACCCGCTTTGATGGGCGGGGCAACGTGAGCTGTCGAAAGTTGGCAATGATGATCTAATCAGAAGATTAGGAATCCCGTGCCTCGAACCTTCGCAGACCTCTTCGTTCTGCATCCTCTGGTACTCAAGCTTACACTTTGGCCCGGACTTGTGACAGGCACCAAGGACACCGCTTCGCATCCTTCGGACACCGACTCACCAAGTGGGTTGCAAAGATAATCACGCTTGCTCCTGTGACCGAGTAAGTCGAGTTGCTGACGGTGCTCTCTTTGTGATGTTGATGTTGTCTGCAGATGACGATGTTGAGCTTCTATTATCTCCTTGCTCTGGGGATCCCGACCATGGTCCTCGGGCAAATTAACTGCGCTACCACCATCGCTTACGGGTGGCCGTCTTGCCCGGCCGGATCTACGTTGGCCACGACGAGCCAACGCGAAGCACTGATCGACGCCTACTGCGGTGGCAGTCCGTGCATTATCGACAGCACCGAGCCGTGTTACATCCAGTCTTACGGCGGCAAAGGGGGGATTGTCGACGGCTACAGCTTCTATGAACTCGGCGTAGGCAGCCCTGTGCCTTCAACCAGTCGGCATGCTACAGCACTTTCCAGTCCATCGTAACGGGGTGCAACTCGCAGCTTGGTGCTGGAGTGTGGCAGCGGGGGATTGTTGAGGTGGACTACGTGGACTTCGCCATAGTGACTTGTGAACTGGAGAATCAGAGTTGAGACTGGGGGAAAGTATATTCGTTCCACCGACGAAATAGGTATCGACAGAACTTGAACTCGCTGTAAAGTTTCGGTTCGCGACTCGAGGCGCATTGAATTGGTAGACGATCCGGTATTACTTCTGATATGTTGCTGTGAACCGTGAACATGTGATCTGACGGTATGCGGTAGATACATACAAGAGATATCTTACCGTAATACGATTCCACCGAATCCTGCATCAGAATACCGGCGTCGCATACGCCGAGCGCCTAGAGAAGAAGCAAATGGGGAAAATGCAGGACGGAATTGCGGTGGAGATAATTCCGGTCTTCTCAATCCCGTGCCTCAGGGCTTCCCAGACTGCTTCGTTCTGAGTCCTCTTGTACTTAAACATGCACTTTAATTTGGACCCGAACTCGGAACAGGCACCAAGGACACCGCTTCATCGCATCCTTCGGATACCAACACCCACCCATCCAGTTGGTTGCAAAGACAACTGCACTTCCTCGTGACCAATTACGTTCAGTTGCCGACGGTCCTCTCTTTGCCATGTTGATGTTGTCTCCAGATCATGATCTTGAGCCTGTACTTTCTCCTTGCTCTCGCGATCCCGACCAGGGTCCTCGGGCAAGTCAGTTGTGCTACCACGATTGCTTCTGGGTCTTGTCCGGCCGGATCCACGTTGGCAACGACAAGCCAACTCGAAGCACTGATCGATGCCTACTGCGGCGTCAGTCCATGCGTTACCGGCAGCAGTGAGCCTTGCTATATCCAGTCTTATGGCGACCAAGGGTGGATTGTCGATGGGTACAGCTTCTACGAACTCGGCGTAGGCGCCCCCGGAGCTTTCAACCAGTCGACATGCTACAGCGCGTTCCAGTCCATCGTAACGGGTTGCAACTCGCAGCTTGGTGCTGGAGTGTGGCAGGGGGGGGGGGCGTTGAGGTGGACTACGTCAGGTTCGCGATGGTCACTTGCGAACTGGAGACCTAGAGCTGAGACCGAGGCGGAGCATATCCATGCTACTAACGAAGTAGTTATTGACAGAAGTTGAACTCGCTGTAAAGTTTTGGTTGGTGACTCGAGGTGTATTGAATTGGTCCTTGCGGACACGCTGAGCCCAGACGACGTTCTGGATTGTTTCTGATACGTTTGCTGTGAACCATAAGTATATGACCTGACGGTATGCGGAAGGTACATACGAAAGACAACCTTCCGCAGTATCCCAATGCCGGTGTTGCATATGAGCAATCGCTGTCCCTTCAAACATCGTCCGGCCCGGGTAATTCTGTAACGGCAAAAAATCGCACGACGGAACTGCGGCGGAGATATTTGCCGACTTCTCATCGAAGGAATAAATGCAATCAGCATCTTCTGATAGTCATTTGTGTTAGCTCGAGGTTTGCAGGGTTGAAGAGAACGACGGACCACGACTTCGAGCCCGTCCTCCGTGCCTGTCAAACAGAGCAGAGGCGCGACTTGCTCATATCTCCCGCACTCCTTTCCTCGGTGCTGTTGCAGTCTCCATACTAATCTTCAGGGCGTGTCTTCTGCATTGCTCCGAAAAGGATCCAACGCAGGAGCGACAACTTCCTCCGTTCCTCGAGGGGTAGAGGTTAAGCGCATTTGCAAGTCGATCGTCCCATTATTGCGTCGCAGACAATGCCATCCAAGCGGATGGATGGTTTCCAGTCGTAAGGATCACAAGCTAATGCGCAAGCTGCGAATGTTGCTGAGGTCTTGATATGTGTGCTGTGGTTCGTGGGGACATCGTTGGAGACCGTGCGGACGCCCTGCGAGTCGGTTGGCCATTGCGGCCAAACTTCAATGCACCCTGCTGGCGCATCTTTGTCGTCAATCGCTATGGCATATTTGAAGTATACCGATTCCTCAAGCGCTTGTACTGTGTGAGAATGAGGTCAGGACTTCGAGCGAGGTGGGATGTAGAGAAAGAAGCTGAAATATTAGGGTCAGTGGTTCGGGAGACTTTCTTCCCAACCGCTCCAGGCGCCTTTCCCATCTGTAAGTCTTCCACAATAGCAACTTTGCTCCTTTCTTCTCTGTACACCACCACCCATACTCTGTCATATGCAACAAATCCATTGCGTTCTATTATTTATCTCTCCGCCCTCGGGGCAGTCTAATGCAGCGTGCCCGTAGCAGCCTTCGAGCACTCCTCGGCCCGCTTCGCAAACGCCTGCTGTGCGCCCTCCTTATCCCCCGCAACCCACTTAATCATCGCGTCCCCTTGCAGCCCTCTACCGAAGCTGAACGTCAGGGGAGGGAGACGGCTCGCCATCGTCCGCAAGACAGCGGCCTCGACGTCCTTGCTGTTCGCCAGAGCCTCGGCAGCGGTAGCTGCGACGGGCTCCTTAGCCGGGCCAGCAGAGACGATCTTGTTGACTGCGTCGAGGTAGAGCGTGCTGTCGCTGTCCGAGAGACCACCGGAGAGGAAGACGATGCCACCCACGGCCGGGGGGACGGTGCGCGCCAGGACGGTCACGGTGGCTGCTGCGATGGTTGCAGGGGTGGGCTTGGGGCCGGCGAACTTAGCGCCAGGCTGGGGGAAGGAGGGCTTGAGGAGCGTTCCTGGGTTGCGTTAGTATGCTTTGTGAATGAGAGGTTGTGACTCACCCTCAAGGAGGACGCCGTAGATAGCCAGCTTGGCGTAGATCGCGCTGATGACCTTGACATGAGCGTCGACGGACGTCTGGATAGATGCATCGCCCGAGAAGTCGAGATCGGGCTCAACGATGGGCACCAGGCCTGCGGACTGGGAGATAGAGGCAAAACGAGCAAGCGCGCCAGCCTGAGCCTCGATAGCTGCCGGGCTGGGGAGCGTACCGGCCTCGTTGACGAGGAAAGGCGCACGCCATTTGGTGAATCGAGCACCTGCCTCGCGCCAGGCGACGCAGCGGTCGTACAGGTCGTCCAGGCCCTGAGTGCCTACTTCGCCCGAACCGTGCGGGGAGCCGGGGAGGGGGTAGCCGTCAGTATCTGCACGCACGCCGGGGATGATACCGCGCTGGATGAGGACGGGGGCGAGCTGGAACTGCAGGAGCGTCTCGGCGTAGAGGATGACACCGCTGATATGCTGCGGGTTGAGAGAAGAGTAGAGCGTCTCGCGCCAGGCCTTGCGACGCGCTGTCTGCTCCTCGTCGGTGAAGGTCTTGAGCTGCCCTGGAGCGGCAGAAGCAGCGAGACGGGCGTGGATGCCATCCGGCGTCTCGTCGGTCGCGTAGATGCCCCTTCCACGGGGGTGAACCAGCGCATGGGCGGTAGCGATGAGCTGGTGTGCAGTGGAGGGAGAATGATGAGGGAAGAGGTCGTGGGAAGGCGCTGCCAAGTCGAGCGGGACGGCGGTGAAGCCGTATCCTGGAGTAGGCACTGCAGTCATCGTCGTTATTGTCGTCGTCGCCGTTGTCGAGGTGGTTGTTGACAGTGAAGAGATGAAGATAATATGTTGGGGGTATATAAGGACCGGAGTTGCCGAATCTGTTGGAGGTGTGGTGCCTCCACCTCTTGTGTGCTGGACCCCCAATGTCGGCTGTTCACCCGAGGCGTTCTATAACAATTTCAGCGCACGTTTGTCATATCCTTATATTATCATATTTGATGGAAGAATTATACTTTGTTGACGACGGCGGCGGCAACGGCGTCGACGTCGAGGAGAGATAGAGAGAAGCTAAAGAGGGATTACCCTTGTGGGCGATGCGGAAAGGAACACACTCGGAGACGCGGATATTCTTCGTATTATCATTCTACCGTTCCTTCTCTCTCTCTTCATTGCATTGACAGCTCATCATTAAACCTCGAATATCTATTGCTTCACTTAGTAGCTGCTACTAGAAGCAACAATATACATCGATAAACAGATTCCCTTTATGCAAAGAGTAAAAACTTACAAGTGTAGACCACCTCCATCCCACGGGCCGTCGCAGCCTCCACTCTCGGAATAACCTCGCCAACACTTCAGAGTGAGTACATAGCTCATCTCCCTCTCCTCTCCATCTCACAAACCATGTCAACGAAGCATATCTACCCGTCGTCTCATCCCTCGCTCATCATTCCTTCTCTCCGCGCTCTTTGCCTCACCAACCCGCACCTAACACTCCACACGCCATCGAAGACTCTCCTTCTCCAACAAGCACCGAAGGGCGTCCCGGTCCTCTGCGGTGGTGGATCAGGACACGAACCCTTCGCAGCTGGATATGTCGCCCCGAACCTCCTAGCAGGAGCAGTAAGCGGGGAAGTGTTCGCCTCCCCCTCCGCGCGTCAGGTACTCGACGCCATCCGCCTCCTTTCCGTCCAATGTCCCGGCAAAGGCGTTCTGGTGCTACACAACAACTACACTGGTGACTGCCTGCATTTCGGCATTGCAGCCGAGCAAGCGCGCGCTGCGGGTCTGCAAGTAGAGACAGTAGTGGAAAGCGACGACGTGTCCGTCCCCCGTTCCCGGTCGCAGAAAGTCGGGCGGCGAGGGCTAGCAGGCATCATTCTTACCAGCAAGATCCTCGGTGCTGCTTCCTCTGCCGGTCTCTCGCTCTCCGAGTTGAAGCTGTTAGGGGATCTGGTGAACGCTAGCACGGGGACGATCGGCACTGGATTGGATCACTGTCATCTTCCGCACACGCCTGCGTCTGCCTGGGAACCGCTGGAAGGGGACGACCTAGAGGTAGGGATGGGGATGCACAACGAGCCTGGTGTACGTCTCATTCGGGGTGGGATAGGAGCGCAAGAATTAGCAAAGGAGATGCTGGCACTCCTCTTGGGGGAGGACGAGGAACGCGGGTTCTTGCGCTGGGAAGAGGGGGATAAGCGGTTGCAGGGAGGGGAGGGACCCGTATTGTTGGTTAACAACCTAGGGGGGATAAGCAACCTCGAGCTCTCCGCTTTCGCACACGAAGTCCTCATTCAGCTGGAGAAAGACTACAGCCTTCGCCCAGGGAGGGTATACGTCGGCGCCTTCCTCACAAGTCTCAACTCGCCAGGATTAAGTCTCACACTCCTCAACAGCGCGGAGGTGCAGCGCGCGCTCCCTCAGGAGCTGAAGGGCAAGGTCAACGTCTTAGAATTGTTGGATGCGGAGGTAGACTGCCCGGCCTGGGCAGGGGCTAGGGCGTTCTAGGTTGGAGGTGGATAGGGAGGAAGGTGTTCGGACCGCTGTGGAGGGCTTTGAACGGGGGCTTTACTTGTATTTTGAATTGAAGAGAAAGAGAAATCATCCAATTATCAAGTCAGGTGGATCCAAGAGCCTTCGGAACCCCCCCCCCCAAAGAGCTTGGGCCCGGGATAACTTACAACATAAGTGGTTCAATTCTTGATACCAGGTTCATAACCTTTCACAAGTCACCGCACACAATTATTCGATTACATGTGCAGATGATGCACTACATTCAAGAGAGTCACAAGAGGCCAAAGAGGCAGAGGTTGAACTCGATCGTCAAGGTTGAACCTGACTCCGAGGTTGAGCTCGCATCGCACAGACCCGAGTGGAACCGGATCTGGCACCAACATAATTACATATTCCACATGACATCACAATCACAGCATCAAGTCAAGTCATGCACCTAGTGCCAGTTCTCGGGTCTCCACTTCCAGCTTTCTGTGGTCATGAAGAACCCGTGATCCTTCCAGTCATAATAATAGTAGGGCTTGTGCTCGAGCCCCGAGTCGGGCTTGGCCACCACCGCCGCGCCGGAGAAGAGGCGCACACGAGGAGTTTTCTCCCCCGGCATCATCTGGAGCTTCGCCAGGTCCTCCGAGCTGAGAAGGTTGGTCGTCTCCGCGAGGATGTCTCCGCCTGGAAGCTGGAACCGCGCGCCCAAGCTGGACTGGATATAGGTGCAGAGCTTGTCGTTCGCGTCCTTGTCATTGGCAAAGTCGATCCCGCTCACCTTCATCAAGGGGATGATAACGTCACGTTGAAGAATGGCAATGCCTTGAAGGTAGTTTGCGCCCCGTTTCTTGCGCTCGATACAGCCCGCACACTTGGTCTTCTTTTGACGCGCGATGGCGGTCACTGACGTGATGGGAATGTTCGCAGGAGCGATCTCGGGCTTGTCGTGCAGGAATATCTCGATGTTGTGGGAGCCGTTCCAGGCATCCGCCACAACCTCGATGAATAGAATCCAACGCCTAAAGTTCTGCAATGGCTCATGTGTTGCAGGGAAGAATTCGGGCATAGCAGGAGGGGTGAATAGAGAAGGAAGCGGTCCCTCGTAAGGAGCATACGTGTAATCCAACTTGGACGTGCTGAAGTATTGCTGCATAAAGCCGATAAGGTCCTGCTGCTTGGAGCGGTCGATAGGTTTGTCAAAGTTGAAGGGGCCAACAGGCTCATAGGTGAAGTCTAGAGAACATATCAGAATTTGCGCCTGAGGTGGGAGAGCAGGTTTACACTTCTTCAGGGCCGAGCCACTGTGAATAAAATGAGCATCCTTAGCTGTCCAGTATTCTGTCTCATTCTTCTTGAACGGAGAGAGAGGGGTATCCTCATCAACAGCTGTCCCCTCTTCCTGAGTAAGAGTACCCTTGGGACCAACTTACGTAATATCAGCATCCAGAAATTGCCCCGAAAAGAAGACACTCACTGAATGAGTGTAGCTTCCCCTCCTTATCGTACCAGCCCTTCCCCATCCAGTAGTCGGGATACACGGCTTCCCACATTGCAACCAGACGATCGACCATGCTGTGATGTATGAAGAACAAGGGTTCGAATGCTGCAGATGTATCAGAACTCCCTCCATATTCACATGTGGGGGTAAACTAACCGGCTTGATCGGGGGTGGACTACGTAAAAAGACACGTCAGGATTGGGTACAAGGCACCGTGGTGGAAGGGAACACAGCTTACCATGTGCCCGTCGCCACCAATGTCGTTATGGATCTTGTGGTGGCATTCCTCAAAGTTCCCAAGGCAGAAGCCACCGTCGAGCCTCTTCTCCTGCGGAGTGGAGTCTGCCCATTCGTCCCAACTGGTAGAAATCATGAGCACATCGTAAATCTGAACCATTTGAGGCGTACAGAGAAGGCCAGTCCGCTTCCGGATGAGTCGGAGGAAGTTTGAAAAGCTGGCCAAACTTGTCCCTCATGTAGCTCGTCGGCTTGAACTCCTGATTGGGATGATCCGTGCCAGTCAGACATCTGAGAAACGTGTCAGAAAATAACAGATGCCAAGACTGATACGCACTTGTGCAGTCCCTCGTAGTCCTCGGTCAGGTTAGCCCAGTCGCTGCCAGGATAACGGGGCCACCTGTAAGTCCGGTGCCATAGGGCCATGTTGTCCTCGAAGCTGGCAGGCAAAGTCTCCCCGAAGTCATAGGAACGCAGAGGGTTGCTGAACTCCTCCTCGCCGCGGGATGTTTGAATCATGACAGTTGGAACCTCGAAGACAGATATACCGTCAACGCGGGGGAAACCTTCCTCCGGGGTGCGTGGGTCAAGCCAGTCCCAGAACCTTCTGCAATCAGTGTCATGCTGATTACCGCGTTGAATATTACGTACGGAAAACGTAGTTCCTTGGCAGCCTGCGTCCAGCGACCTTTCTGGTCTGGGAGTGTCTTGGGGTCGAGTTCATCCGCCAGCGCAATCTTTGCAGCAACTTCGCCGACGGCTTGCTGTGGGACGGTCAGTAATAGGTTTCCATGAGGAAGCAGAAGTGCGCCATACTTCGATCAGCATGACCGCCAGACGATGCCAATGTCCGAACAATACGGCTGCATGGATAGCTGTCAATGTGGATGTACGTTTTCTCGAGATATGGCTTACAACTATGGCGACAATAACCTCCGTTGGTTCCAGGACGGTACACGGTCTTGCAGTCAGGATCTCCGCTGGAAATAACCACATGAGGAACACTGTCACGTAGTGCATACAAGAAACACTCACGCCCATCGTTGGTATGGCATTCCGTGGATGCCAGCTAGATTATATAGATAAGCCATCTATACCAATTGTAACAAAACTACCACCCACCAATTTCAACGAAAGAGGCTGGCTTGGGTTGATATTCCGGGTTGGAGATCTGCAGCAGTGATCGCACAAATAGCGACCACTGCTCAGGATGCTTGATGATGAGATCGCGGATCTCAAGACGTGGGTACACTGACCCATCCTCACCTAGCTCAGGATCAGTCAAATAATTAGAATACATGCTCTCAAACATACCGATCATTCCCGTAACGACGTAAGGACGAGGAGCCTTAGACATGTTTGTAAGTCAAGGTTCGGAGCTTGGGTAACAGCTGCTGGAACCCAAGACACAGGAGGACATTGACTTTATACAATCCAGTTTTCATGTGGAGGCACCTCGGGAAACGAGAAGAGCGCCCACTCAGCAGACAGATGACAATGCTGATCATGTCTTCTTTCTGTCCGCCGCTGTTATCATGGAGCATGTCTAAAAGTAGCGAGCTATCCTCTTCTCAGAAACCGAGAACCCTCGTCCAGGGGTGACAGGGGAAGTGGCACCGCGTAAGGTTGGGAAGGAGGTCGGACCATGGCGCATATCCATACGCATCCACGGACAATTTTCCGAGACCTGATGTACAGAAATAGCAGATGATATCAAGCGGAAAGGAAATGCATTCGTCGCACAGTCGTTAGTGTTGAGAATGTGCAGATGAGTGAAGAGAACAGAAGTCGTTGTATGCGGCCGGAGCAATCCACGGAACACGGGTCACAATAATTGGCGGACGCGTCGCGTGTCACGCTCTGTTCTTCCCCACCACAGCTTTCCTCATTCACCTTCGAAGCGCGAACTAGTAATAATCCAGCGAAACTTTCTTTGACTTTCAGGGGGGAAATGTCACACGCAAGTGGCGTTGATTGCTGGCAGCATGAATTCACTGGCATCTATCTCACTGGCTTCCCTTTGTCAGTGTCAAGTACGACATCGACAGTGGCCTCCAACCCAAATATGGCGCTTAGATAGCTCGCGCTAGACTTTATCGCTGACCTCGGCAGATACCGTACACCCATGGTACAGCTATCGCACAAGGAGCTGGCCTCTCACTCAATCATATTGACGCATATTGGAACCATACTCTGCTGGCACAACTATGTTCCTCTGCGACCACTTCGCGGAACAGGCATGGAAACCGCCTATCTCCTGATGCGCCCAGAAGGCTCAGATTGAAGCAAATTCGCCCATCAGTTGAAGTACATGTTTGTAACTGCGATGGCGAAACGGTATCTCGGCCCTACTTGGTTCGTCTTCCTTATTGGCGAAGCTTCCATCTGTATCCGATCCTGGTCTGGGTCTGAACCACTCTTCGTCAACCGTCTCGGGCCCGTTTGCTTATATGGTTGCCCACGGATTCATCCCTTCCTATTTTGCTCTGCCAAGCTATTGCAATACACTTTCACAGAATGAAGCTTTTTGAATCCCTGCCTATCGTGGGGCTACAGTCCTGAAGATGACCCTCCGAGGACAATGCGTCAGAACGTCATGTATAGGTTGACCCACTACTTTCCCCCTGCGACCGTCACCAGGCTCTCTCGGAAATTGGTTTTCTGCACTGAGCCGCGGGACCTTTGGCTTCGTGACCCCCCTGAAAGTGGCTCTTGTTCGCCTGAATCCTTGACCCCACGGCATCTTCGCTAGCACAAAGACTCGACTGTGGAGATGTACCTTAATATCCAGAGATGGATCATATAAGGTGTGGCTATTGTGTCACCGAAGAATACGGAGCGCCCAACCCAATGCTGAGGAGCACAGGTCTGGGATACGCCCGGATCTTGGGAAATTACCTATCACGCAATCCGCTTCTCCGCTTTTCACTGCTCTCCCACTCCGCCTGACGCCCCAATGCACCATCGGCATCCGCGAGGCTTATTCAGGGCTATCTTCCTTCGGGCCGTCCTTGGAGCTACTACAGGTGTGGTTCTCGACAAGCTGGGATGCTGTGCGGTTCTTGCAGAATTTCTCTCTGTAATCTCCGAGGCGATCCAATATGGCAAGACATTGAGATCAGCGCCAGCGTGACAACTTTTACCGCAAAAGTACTCCCGAATCAACTGCCAATGGTATTCCGGGTAAATGCAAGTGTCGGACCGGTCTCAGTGACATCAGGCCGATGTATATCTGGGGCCCGCGCACTGTCGAGCGGGCATGACAAGGACAATGACGCTCGCACGCAGCATTAACGCTGATGTCGACGACAGATTATCTCCCTCCTGCCGCACGAGTGGCGACCGTTCGTGAAGTCCAGACGATCTCAGTCAGACGCTCACTAATCCGCTCCAATGACGCTGCTATTTCCTCGGCCGACTGGACACGAGGAAGAGTCAGCGTGTTGCGCCAGCACGCAGGGGCTCTCACCGACAATCCTGTGTCTCTATACTTTGCGCTTCCTGACCGATCTGGTAAGTTAACATGCAGAACGTGCCGGCGCTGCCGCCGAGGACCCTCTCATTCTCCGATATCCGAGCCCCCCGCAAGATTTTCTGACGCTGGTACAGAAGTACTGCGTAATGCAAAAGATCTTTCCATATTGTAGCAAACCGTGTGACGGATGCTGAATGGACTGACACAAGTATAGAGCGATACCCGAGATGCATCTGGGTGCTCCGGACGCGACCATATTCTCGAAATACCCGGGAGAGGTGACCATACGATATCGAAATTCCCCCCTCCAACGCCTGTGTTCCCACTGTCGTCGTCGACGTTTGTGTCCTTATTGTTGAAGGTATTGAAGAGTGTAGACAGGGGAAGCAACGCCAGGGGGGCACCATGACGACAGGTACTGCCGACGCTTGACAACGGGGCGAAGTCTGGGCATTCCTTCGAGGAGCCATTTCCGTCTGCCTGACTGCGCTGAGGAAGACATCGCTGCAGTCGTGCAAGCCTGACAATACCGAGGTCGAGGATGTTAAGCCACTGAGATGCAAGTTGACAATGCCCTGACTTGATGCGTTGTCATTCGGAGGGAGAAAACTGAGGTGTGAAAAGCTCGTGTTCGTGGCGATGAAGAAGCTAATACTGAATTCCTAGGTGCTCAGGGTCCAAGCCTTTGTTGCCTTTCTGGTCACCGTTCCCCGTTGCCTTGGTGTTCACTTTTCACTTCAAAGAGCGCTTATTATACAAAACAAAATCCCTCATTTCATTTTTCACCATAAAATGCTGATCGCAGCACCGACGATGGTCATCAACCTCTTTCCCTTCGCCTCCCTCCCCGCCTCCGCAAGTCGAAGCGTTCCGAGCAGAGCTCGCCAACATCCTCAACCCACATCACCAATCTACCAGTCGCTAGCCCGACACACCACATACATAGCTTGACGCTATCCCCCGCTCACTCCATACCAAGCAACCAAGAATGTTCGCCTCACTGCTCGCTCTTGCCCTCGCGGCTCCCTTCGCATCTGCCCTCCTCATCCACGACATCCAAGTCGGCGGCCCCGGCACCCTTACCTTCTCCCCATCCAACATCCAGGCCAGCCCGGGTGACATCCTTAACTTTGTCTTCCAGCAGGTCAACCACACGGCCACACAATCCACCTTCGCCAACCCTTGTGTCCCGATGATGGATGCCAATGGTAACGCGATCGGATTCGACTCTGGCTTGTCAGTCCCTGTCCTCTACCTTGGCTATATGCACTAACCTATCCTCAGCATGCCCGTCCCCTCCACGCAGACAGCCAACTTCCCCTCCTACCAGGTAACGGTAAACGCCACCACTCCCCTGTGGGTCTTCTGCCGGCAAAACGGGCATTGCGGGAAGGGCATGGTCTTCAGTGTCAACGCCCCTGCTACGGGCAACACGTTCGACGCCTTCCAGGCCGCGGCTATGGCTCAAAACGGGACGGCCTCTGCTCCTGCCCCTCCGACGAGCGCGAGTGCGGCTCCTTCTGCGAGTGATACGGCCACCCCTACCGGTATGCAAACTGTCGTGGGTGCTGCTCCTACCGCTGGCGCCAGCTCGGGTAGCCCGACGGATCACCGTGTCATCGTCGGCGGGACTAACGGCCTTGTCTACACCCCCAACACAGTCGTACGTCCTTCATCATTAATTTCTAATGCTAACTAACCATGCATACAGGTGGCCAACCCTGGGGACACAGTGACGTTTGAGTACCACGCTGCGAACCACACAGCGACGCAGAGCAGCTTCGCAGACCCTTGTCGGAAACTGTCGCTCACTTCTACCACTGGCCAGGTCGGTTTCGACTCTGACTTGTGCGTCCTTCCTCGTCCCATCGCGACCCCCTGCTGACAGTTCGTAGCCAACCCGTCTCTGCCGACGCGACCGTCTTCCCTACGTACACGATGATGGTGAACTCCACCACACCAATCTGGGTGTACTGCCGCCAAACCGGCCACTGCGGGAAAGGCATGGTATTCGCCGTGAACCCACCCACGACGGGGAACACCTACGCCGCGTTCATGCAGAATGCGCTTATGCTGAACGGGACTGGGACTACGGGTACGACTGCTCCTACGAGCGGGGTGGGGAAGAACGCTGCTGCTGGAGGAGGACTTGCCCTTCTCCTGGTTACGGGTGCGCTCTCCCTGCTGCTGTAAGGGTGGAATCGTGCAAGGACAATCTTTCATTCTTGGACTACTGGCTTGGTATCCTCATTTCCCCTTTTGTTGTGGACTGCTTGTACTAGGCTACGCTGTGCGTGGGATCTTAATGGAGCGATTGGGACTTTTGTGCTGTTCTGTGTGTGAATGATGGAACGTGTGAACAGGTGAGAGATGAATTGTGATTGGTAATGTGAACCCTGAGTATGAACGGCCGTGATGAGTCGTTTACTTTACTGTAACTATGGCACATTCATATATATCACTGCGGCATGTCCCCATTAGAGTTGGGTTAACTTGACTTGCTCTTAACTGTCACTCAAGGGCAATGGCGACGACAACGACGAGGATGACAACGACGACCACCACAATACGCCATAAACTGGTCAAATCACTAAAGTCATTCCTAAAGTTCACTTTCTCCAAACGCTCAATCCCAACTATCAAAGGTGCGCCCTCACAACTGCGTTGAACTAGTGTGTGACTGACAGCATCACCCCCACTGGCAGGCACACTCGCCTACCTCCTCGTATTCGTATTCTCCTTCCTGCACGGCTTTGACAGCCTCAGCGACTACCCCCTAGCCCTATCCGGTACGCCTCCCTCCCTCCCTTCCCAGCTCAACGCTAACCCCCCTCCCTCCCCAGCACCAGTAATAGTCGTCATCGCCGTCGCGCCCGGCAAGCCCGTTGGTGCCTGTGTGCAGAACACAGTGCTCGCTATGCTTGGCGTGCTTGTTGGCGCTCTGGACTTTTTCATCCTTGCAGAGCTTGGGCATGTGCCTGTCGCCCAGGGAGTAGTATTCGTCATAATGGTCTACCGTGCGTCACCCCCCACCCGAGGTCAAAAAGCGCTGCAGACTAATATGACCCAGTACTCGCACTTATCAAAGCCCAGTCGATCACTTACTTGCCCTTCGCACTCCTCGCACTGCTAATGACGTTCAACGGGATCTTCACCTCGCAAAGCAACCTCTCCAACGGCTTGGCGCCCTTCTCCGCCCCGCAGCTCATCTCATACCTCAAAGCGTACTCCTTCGGCGCCGCTATCGTGCTCTTCGTCAACCTCTTCGTATGGCCTACATCGAGCGAGAACCAGCTGCGACAGATGCTTGTCCGCAGCTTGGATCATGTGCGCACGTTTGTCCATTTGGTTAATAAGGGGTATCTACTGGAGTTGACGGATGAGGAACGGGCGGTCCGGAGTCAGTTGGTCCAGAGTATCCGGGTGCGTTCTCGCTTTCCTAGTGCAGGGCGCGAGGTACTCATCCTTCCCTATGATGCAGGCAGACTTTGGTTTCCTCAGCCAGGTCATCGACCAGACTTCGATCGAAATCGTCTATTCCCGATGGTCGATGTCCGACTACCGCCTGTTAGTGCTCAAGATGCGTTCCCTGCAAGCGACGTTGATCGCTGCCTACTCCGGGCTGCTGAACGGGGAAGAGAACGACAGTGTGCGCACGTTCAAGGAACGGTTTTTGCCTGCGGGGGAAAAGGAGTTTAGGAGGATGAGAAGGGACTTGTGTGCTACTCTCGGGGAGGTTATGAGGGTGCTTGCTACGGAGAAACTTGAGTTGAGGGGGGAGGAAGACAGGTTCAAGGAGCCTAAGGAGGTGGAGGCTGCGCTGGAACAAGTGTCGACTGTCGAGCAAGGGGAGATGGATCAGGAAGCAGTGCTGGAAGAAGTTGGCAGGCGCTTGCAGAGGGAAGCGGCGGATGAGGCGTCTGATTCTGGCCGCACAGCGCTGAGCGGGACGACCTTCCCCGGCTCTGCAGGGATGGAGGAGAGCGGGGTCGGCACTCCTTCCCCCGGAGCTGTCACGCCACGCGGGCCGACGCTTGTCGACCGCCAGCTATTTGGCGGCGGGGAGAAGGGACAATCGGACGACCCGGAGCTGCAGGAATACAGGACCCACGCGGTCAAGAGCCTGCGAAACGATTTCGACGCGTTCGCTGCTAAGCAGCTCGATGTCGTCGGTGCGCTGCTCGTCTCTGGCGGGTTTACACAAGCGGGAGGGGAGGAACTGAAGGTCTTCCTTCCTATGACGAGTATGGCGGATGCTTGGGGGAAGGATCATGCGCGTGGTGTGCAGGAGGCGATGGAGAAGGAGGGAGTGAGGACGAGTTTTGGGATAAGGCCGATTCGCGCGCGTGGGCTGAAAAGCCTGGACGGGAAGGGTGAGATGGGGGCTGCTGTTACTGGGAGAGAGGGAGGAGCGAAGAGCTTGAAGGAGGAGGCGGAGGAAGAGGAGGAAGATGACCCCGAGGCGATCAGTACTGGCCAAGCGCTCGTGCGAGTGTACTCGATGCTCTTTGCTATGAAGTCCGTTTCCCTTTCTTCCAGTATCGTGCCTTCTGACACTTGACACTTCCCAGCCGGCTGATCACCGAGCTCCAAGCGCTGCACACACACGTCACCACCACCTCCAAAGGCGTTCAAAGGCATTACCACCTCCATGTCCACATCTGGGAGTCTCTCCGCGCCGACCGCAAAAAGGGGCAGGAAGACATGTGCCTCCAAGACGCGCTTTCCCAGCTCGAGCAACGCGAGTACATCCCTAAGAATGTCACCCTCATCCAGCGCATGATAGCCGTGGAACAGTGGTTCCGTAGCCCGAATAGCATATATGCGTTCAAGGTCGTTTTGGCGGTGCGTGCCTCCGCCTGCGCCTGCGCGTGGGAGTGAGTGGACGCTGATCGGACCACAGTTATGCGTGTTTGCGGTGTTACTCTGGGCCCCGGTCGTTAGGGGTTGGTTTATCTCGTACGCGCTTACTGTAAGCCTCACACATGCCCATGATACAAACGCGCACGCGCTCATGAGTCTCTAGTCCGCACTGCCGACAATCGTCATCGCCTTATCACCCACACTCGGTGCGTCGCTCCCGTATTCCGTGAATTCGCGCTCATGGTTCCTTCAGGTCAGAGCTACCTTCAGTTCACGTTCCAGATCCTTGGCACCGCTATTGGGAATATCGCAGGCATGATCCTACTCTTGATATTCAACCATGTCGGGTACGTCTGGCAGTGATCAGCGGGGAAATGATCCTCACCGTGTTTTAGGGGATACGTGTATAACCCTTATGGTCTGGCGTGTCTCGTCGCAGTGTACGCAATCCCTTTCATATATGTCATCCACGAGAAGGTGCGCCAGCAGAACTCGCAGATTACGGGGATGGGGATGCTCAGTTCGACTTAGCCGCAACTTTTCGTGCTTGGACTCTTGTCGCTCAATAGGTATGTATCTCCGCTTTGGAAGCCTGGACCCAGCTCATCCAGAACCAGCGCCGGGGTTCTAATAATCACAGAATATGTACAAGCTGATTATGTCGGAAATGCCAACTTTGACTCGGCACCGTATCGAGCTGGTAAGGAACAATCACATCTTCATTAGGTGAATCCTGACCTCGGTATAGGCAAGGGATTAGCAGCGTTGTCAATCGCCATCACTTTGGTCCTCTGTTTCCAGCTACTTATCCTTCGGAATCCCGCTCGACACACTCTACGCAAGGCGTTAGCGCACTTGATCGAGGAGCACTTGGCGTACGTGACGATGCTCCAAGCATATTGTCGTGCGCGTAAGTAGTTCACTGCCGCAAGCTAGAGTTACAGTCCTGATATGATTTAGTGGGGCCTATCGATGCTAATGATCGGCCGTCGCACAAGAACGTCCTGCGCGTAGAAAGTGAACTCAAGCGACGGGAGGCCAAACTTCAAGCCAGGATCATCGGTATGAACCCGTTGATTTCGTAAGTCACTTCCTCTCTCTCTTGACAAACCTGATGTTGCCTCAGCTTTGCTGCCGCAGAGCCTCAGTGGGAAGCTCCATTCCGAAGCGATGCAGCAGTTAGGATCGTCCGTGCAAATCAGATCCTTCTCGATCGATGGAGCGAGGCGAGATCTGCAATCGGCACCGAACCCTTCCCGGCATTCATATCCCGCGAGTTCATCTCTGTGCTCTCGCCTTATCGACGACAAGCCTATGTTCATGCAAAAGTGTCGTTGTATCTCGCTGCTGCATCTATGGCATCCAAGATGCCTCTGCCGCTGGAGGTGCCTAAAGCTGGAAAACTCATTTCGGAAATGATGCATGATGCCCTGCTCCTCAGCTCGCGCTTCGCCAAGACGGACGAGGGAAGAGAAACGGTCAAGAGCGGTGAATTTGCCCGTTATTGGTATGATGCACCTTTGCCCCCTCTTTCGGCTTACTGAAGCGGAATAGGTTCTTCCTGCTTGTTATGACTTCTGCCTGCCGTCAAGTGTCGTAAGTTTTCCTTTCAGGTATTTGGTAAACTGTATTGAAGTGAGGCTAGGTCGATCGAAGAAGGATGCCGCTTGATGTACGGCTCATTCGAGGACAAGGTCCTGTGATGTATTTGTGGCACCAGTATTGTACAGCATAACACGAACAAGACAAGTCAACAGTGTATGTTAGTTTTCCGCAACTTCCAATCGAAGTTTAGTGCCATATTCAACAACCTTGCCTGATCCCTCCAATACTGCTTCGCCACGTGTTTCGTTCACCGCACTGAAAGCATGAGGCACACCCGGCAGGACGTGCAGTTGCGCATCAATACCAAATTTACGCAGCTGAATCGCATAAGCAATCCCTCCGTCCCGAAGCATGTCCAGGCCTGCGACAGAGATATGTACGGGACAATGGTGTGCCGGGATCTCTTGCAGAAGCGGGGAGAAATATGGGTCATCGCACGGCTTGTCGCTTCCCGTCAAGTCGGCTGTCCGGTTTCAGCGAGAAGGAACAGAAAGGCTAGGCTCATGACTTACTTAAAACCTTCTGGAACTGGGCTACTAGGGCTTGAGGCATCTGAGGCAAGTTCGTCTCCCTTTGTTGGCTGAGCGGGAATGGCGGCTTTCGTGGGTCGCACACGACGGGCTGAGATGAGGTCAGTAGCACATCAGAAGGATGGTACATGTGACGTACCACGGTCAGGTTCATGTGTCTGATGCGGCCTGGGTTATGCTCCATCGCATCCCTCAAAGCAGCCCCTGCAGCCAGATGGGCGCCCGCAGACTGGCCCCAAAGCCCAACTCGCTCCGGATCGACATCGTACTCCCTCGCATGGTCCATTACCCAATCTATAGCTTGATAACAGTCATTGTGGTTCTGAGGCCACTGGTACTCAGGGATGAGTCGATACTCGACGTTGAATATCACTGCGCGGAGCTCGGATGCTAGGAAGTCCGCGCCTTCGCCGTCCATCTCCGCATATCCGTGTGACCAGCCGCCTCTAACATACGCTCAGCATAATTGGCAGCATGAGTGATCTGACTCACCCATGAAATCAGATCAGGGCTGCCCTTAGCTGGAGTGGCTCTCCTGGATATGGAGCGGGGTCGTGCACCAGTATGCGGTAGTTGCTGTCTCCGTTATACGCAACCGGTACCCAATACCGCGCAACTTTGGTCTCAGGACGAAAACGTTTCGCTAGAACTGGATGGGGACCTAGAGCAAGCTCAGCCTGCTCCAACGCCCTCCATCCGTAATGGTCGTCCGGTGCCGGAAGTGGGTGACGATGGGCGAAGCTCAAGGCTTCCTTCTGTCCACCCGTGAGTAGGGGTCATATGGATTAGATAGGGAACTCACAGCTTTGTAGTCGGCGTCCACGGATAGTGGGCGATCCAAAGGGTCATTATAATCGACTGGTCTCAAAGGATTGTCGAAGTCATCGTCTTCCATTGCTAGTGAAGCAGGAATACAGAGCAGCCCGGCTTGGATTCTGACGGTTACAATAGATCTGTATTTATTTGATCACTGCAGACAGTAACGGCCGCCGAAACGCCCATAAGAATCATTTCCTCAGAAGGTAGATCATGATGGGCCATTCGTATTCCATGAGCGAGAAATGCCGAGAGTAGCCCCGTTGGAGAACAAGTTGAAAAATTAGTTCACGAGAGGGGTTGACCCCAGACTGGAGTACATTTACAATCTGGGTGGCAATGCAGAAGCCTGATAATCGTCGATTTGGGCCGATACACACCGACCCAGTGCACAATCAGTATTCTTCTCAACCTGCCTGTTGGCTGCTACAACAAGTCGGAACGAGCCAACCTCTGCATCTGCCATACATGTTGCATACTCTTACAAAACCCGATGTACAAAGAATCTCCCTCATGGCGCTCATTCTCCTTGTCGGTAATCTCGCAGATGGCGGGCTCGGACTGACGAACACGACGCAGGAACGGGTCCGGAGGGCCAGATAAACGGCTAATGTCGACGAGTTTCTCTGTTGACTGTGATCAGCACTTGGCGCACAAACTTCAAGAAACGAACGTACCAATCCGATCGCCTAGCATGAACATGGTGATTCTTGCATCCTCTTCAATCTCGCGAGCCGATCGCAAAGCGTCACGCGACAATTGCACGGTCTCCTGCTTCATCCTCCTTATGTCTTTCTTCATCGCTTCGATTTCTTTGTCCGACATCTTCTGAGCCTGGGACAGCAGCTGATCGTTTGCGTTGTGGACCCGAGGCACAGATCTGTTATAGCGACTAACGGCACGTGCCACCTGGGCCTCCATGTCCAAGGCTCCTGATAGCTCTGCTCGGTTTTGGTCGTATGGATCGTGGCGATCCAGCAAGCGGTACGGATCCAAGGTGATCTGCCTGCGAGTGCGAGGACCATTGGATATGGGAGGAGCAGATGTGGAAGACACCTTGCGTAACAGACTTGCCGCTTTCTCTTCGATCTCGCGGGCCAGTCGCAATACGTTCTGAGAGGATATCACGGTCTCTTGCTTCATTCGGCGCATTTCTTTCTTGAGATACTCAATCTCTTCATCCTCGTCCATCTGCACACGGGTTTGCAGCTGATCCTCTCCATGGTCGAAAGCGATCATACATCTATAACACCTCTTGGGATTTGTATCCTGGGCTCTCGAACAACGCAAGGCTACCAGGTCCGCTTGTTCCAAAAAATCAGGACGAAGACTTGGCAACTCGTATGGATCAAGGACAATCTGCCGGTGGGCTTCCGGTTCATTGGAGGGAGATGCAGTCGGCGTAGGATATAAGTCGCAATCTAGGGAGTTACAGGTCGCATTGACAGGCGGATCATACTTCCTAACTCCTGTTCGGCTGGTACTACCAGGGATTCGGGTGGTGTCTGTATCGAAAGCGTCTGTGGTGTTGTACTTGGCATGTCGTTCACCAGTGACAGGCGGGTTAAGCGAGTTGGCCTTGAACCAAAACATCATGGGCGGACCTTGATAGAACGAAAGATGAAAACGGTGCAGGGGACGAGAGGTAACAGAAGTGAGGGAGATTGTTGTAAGAAGAGAATCTGCCACGAAGGTGATGCGGCGTAAGTGGTTTCGGATTCAAACGCGAAAGGTTATGACTCACACTAATAGGTGGGAATGCAAGAGCCACGATCGACGCTAGCACCGTTCTATAAAGACCCTCAAAAATTTGTATCACGTACCTCAAAGTGAAACAATGGAAGAACACTTCGTTGGTTCCATCGAGCAGGAGCAAGAGACGACAGGTTTCCGGCTTTCGCTCGCTCATGACGTTCGAAGACGTTATGACCATCGAGCGCTTTTTCAAGGATAAGGATACGAGCACGTTTGCCCAAGCGCTCTCACAGGGGGTTGGACGATGGCTGAGGTGGAACAGTGGCTCAAAGAAGAAAAAGTAGATGTACGCGATATGAATATGTAGGGAAGATTGGCACCATGGCCAAATCTGTCGTGTTGATAGGGTACTTCCTGCGAATCAATATAGCAAACTTTGAATGAGCTGATCTTGTCCAAATTGATGGTAGTCAGATTGTGAAAATACATACGGTGATCTACGTCGGTGTCCAGCAATATGCACAACGGTATGACGTCATCGGATGGATAACGCTTGTCATTTGATCTCTGGCGATGAGGTCTATGTATTGCATGCAGCTGATGAGATGACTTTGTACCATGGACATGAGAAAACTATTGGGTACTACTGAGGGAGAGAAGATCGGACGTAGAGATACGTAGTGGTGTCGAAGAATGGCGTGGCAACAAAGCGCACGCTCACTCTTCACACCAGGCAGAGAGGAAACGAGGACGCACTTAGTAATATACAGAATAGGAAGGTCCGGGATACGATCGGCCGTGGTAGGGGATGGATGATGAGCTTGGCTCGTATGTTGAGGAATAGGATGATCTTGATGGGGCGGGATCGGGTACCCTGGGAGGTAGCACTTGATGATGGACGGGTAGAGTTGTCCAATAATCTCTACTTGTGTGCTGCTGGGGTGGGCTTGGGTCGTGTCTTGGAGGGAAAGGAACCGGCGGTGTTGGCAGTGCACGATAAGCTGTACCTCCTGCAGGTGGAGTTTGATAGTGATATGTACTGTAAACTTCACGGGCGCCTGCAGGAAGGTCCGGTTGGTAGGATTGGTAGGGTGAGGAATACGACGGACGGCCTTGACAAGGCGGGTTCGGGTGCCCTCGGAGGCGGCAGTCGATGATCGGTGGGTAGCACCGCTGTCCGGTAGGCGCTGCCGGCGTGCTGCTGGGGTGGGCTTGAGCCATATGGGGGAGGGAAAGGGGCCAGCAGTGTGAGCAATGTAAGGGAAGGTGTAGGTACCGCAGGTGGAGCTTGGTAGCCATATCAACTGTGACCATCATGGGGGCCTGTAAAAGGGTCTCGATGATGATGCACACACTCTTCAGAACCCATCACTATGGTCGATGTCAGGCCTTATCTCCCATATTTCAAAGTGGGCCAACACTTTGAAATATGGGAGATAAGGCTGCAATCTGGTATGAGGAAGGTGCATGAGCCGTTCTTGATGTTGAGGCCCAGTCTGGCAGTGGGGTTGTGGCATCGGGCCATCATAGTACCTAATGGTGATCGTCACTAAAGATTGCAAGAGAGAGACGCACCTGACTCGGTCCACCGCCACAGGAAAGGAAGGAAGACTTGATTCGGGGGGAAAAGCATTGATCGTGGGTGATATGGTTGCCATTTTCCTCTTCCCGGAGGCAACATGGTGAGGTGTTTGTGGTAGGGGGTTCCTTCCGGCAGAGCACGATGGGTTCGACTGAGGGAGAGTGATCTTGTCCGTTTGCTCTGTTGACGATCCAGTCGGTCCAACTAGAGTGGGTTCATCCAGCAACAGACCTGTGCTGAGGTTTGTGGCAGGATAAATTGCTCCTGAAGGGAGCGAAATACCATGGTCACGCGTGGGCTGAAATTGCGCGTGAATCTCTACCTCATCGCAGTGGTATCGCGGCCAAGAATAGGTGAAGTCACGCAACTCAAGAAAGTACTGAGTCACCCTAATATAAATTTCATATCAGGTTCCATGTATTACGGAGAGCCGAGAGGAAAGTAGAAAAGAAGAAAGCGGGGCGAAAGAGCGGTCCCGAACCCGGCGGTTCTGGACTGAAGCCGAGGACGCCTTGCTTCGGTCTGCCATCCTCGAGGGTACGCTCTCGACGGTTCTGTTTGGCTGGTCCACATTGAACTCATTTGTTTATTAGTCGAGGGGAGCATCACCGGTCAGCCCCATCACTGACGCCTGATTGCAAAGCAGGTGCCAGGGCGCACGAACAAAGACTGCCGAAAGCGGTGGTATGGGCAGATGGAGTGAGCTGTGAATCGGGGGAAGTGGTCACCAGAAGAAGACCACTTGCTCTTGAACATGGTCAAGACCTATGGAACATTGTGAGTGAACTACCGTCTCTTCTGGTTGCTTCGAGGCTCACCCTTGATGGATATCAGATGGCCTTTGGTTGCAGTGATTATGAAGACCCGGAGCAGTGACCGTATTGCAGTCTCGTGTCCTAGCATGTGGTTCATTAAGCGTCAACAGTTCTGGCACCCAGACACCTGAAACAAACGAACCATGGGGTTGCCCTCATCCATGCATTGTGCCGAAGCAAGGGTTCCAGGATCCCATTCGATCGCCGACATCTCAAACCTCCAGAATCGGAGATCCAAAGCATCTGGGGTGCACAAAACATGAGATGGCAGAAATCTCACACACAAGACGCAGTACTCGCAATATTCTTGCTGAAGGAGGGTGACTTCATGGACCGTGTTACCGTGGCTCGGGTTGATCATTGGATTGTATGGTTCATTATCGAAGGCGGGCGTCTGTGGCTGTTTGACATGTCAATATTATTCGACACAAAGGGAAGAACGTACGTCAGACGGTACCGTTGTCAAAAACCGGAAGAGTAGTCTCAACGCTGGGTCGTGTCGTACCAAATCTCGCACAGAACATTATATATACACCGGGGGTTAGCCATGGTGCGGCTATAACATGGGGTTAACAGGGTTGGCCAGGGTGTGGCGATAACACGAGGTTGGCCATGATGCGGCGATAACACGGCGTTGATCATAGTGTGATGCGAGATGTATTCAGTTTCAATCTGTTGTATCCGCATCCGGCATTCGCAGCTGACCGCGTCGAATCTTGTCTGGTGCGCGATAGTCCTCCACCATCGCCGGTTACGGCAATCTACTATCGACGTCGTGACAAAGACATGTTCTTCAATAGGTAACAGCTTCACGTGGTGCAAGGCCTTTATGCATGCTTGGCGAAGGGGATGTGCGACATGTCAGCAACCCGAGGTCTCGTGAACATCGACGCTAATCTGCTGCAGATGAGTGTCCACTCATCAAAACGTCGCAGGCATAACATAACTTTCACTGCTTGATTTGTATCACCAGGTCAATCGGAGACGATATCACGATGATAGTTCGCAGGTATCAGAGATTTTTACAGCAACTGTGACAGCTCATGTGATGGATCGTGCTGGCGAGGGTTCCGAATTTCACGTGCGTGGCCCTTCGAATGAAATACCTCCGTGACTCTCTTTATTCTTCTTCCAGCGACCACCAGTTACGGTCTGTGAATTCTGACTGTTCATCCCCACTGCATAGCCTTGCGTTTCTCGACAGCCCAGAATACAAATCTCAAGAGTTGCTATAGATGCTTTTGACAATGGACATGATCAGCTGAAAACCCATATGCACATCGAGCAAGAGATGGGCGAATGAAGCAGGAGACTGATATTATGTGTTTCGAGTTCAAACGCAAAAGGTTTACGACTCACACTAAGTTGTAGGCGGGAATGCAATTGCCACGCTCGACGCTAGGGTCTCTTGGCCGTACAACAGTTAAGACCTCTGCAAACACAAAACTTTGGACGAACCATTCATTGGGATTCATGGGTCGTACAACCCACAGTCAGTACTTCTTTCCCCTCGTGCCAGATTGTACATGCCAAATAAATGATGTGCATTCTTACCTTCAGCTTCATGGTTGGAAGACGCATTGCATTCTACGGCATTATATAGACCATCAAAACTTAAATTGGTCATCTCGATATTGTAGAAATAACAATCATGGTCGTTCAGGTTATTAATAATGCTTACGTCAGCTGTCTTGCGTATCCTTGAGTAACGGCGTTGTGTACTGTTGAATAATCATCTCCGAGGCAGTCAAAATCAGAATGTCACCGCTTGCGGGGGCAAGAAATATGACAATGTTTATTATCTCCAAGAACTCATAGGATTGTCCTAGAAACCAAAAGTGAGGGGGTTGATTAAGTACTTGACGAGGGTAAAGTACCGTGGATGTTCCCCCAGCAGTCAATATCGGTTAGGCAAGCACCAGGCTGGGCCTGAATGCTATGCTCCGCCTTGAAATTTTCTGCCGTCACGAAGTCCCAAGCGTTAATCACTCCTTGAACACAGTATTGACCAGCGGACAACGAGTCGCCGATAAACTGGAAGTTGAGCTCGCTAGGAGTGTAGACCTCGGGGATAGCGTCTCCGTTGATCTCGACCGCCTCGAGTTGGAGGTTATTATTCTGCCAACCCTCGTTTGCGAGTCGGATGACGTTGGTCGAGAGCGGAGATGAGTTCAACCCAGCGAGCGGGACTGCGTTTGCGCCGAAGGTGAGGTTGACCGTCTGCCATGCGCCGTAGTTCACTGACACGCCGACCGACGCTGAGGGACTTGTCGTCATATCCCCGAGATAGATTGTCATCATTCTGAGATTCTTGGCAACTAGCTTGAAGCCGGTACCAGCCCTAGAACGAGTGGTTCAGTAACGATCAAAGGTTGGATTGGGGTCATCTTACCACCAAGAGGTATCGGTGTCATCCCATCTCCCGTTTAAGAAGAGATAAGGACTACCGTACGGGATGACCGTTGTCTGTGCGAGTGCAAGGCAAGCAATCGCCAGGTAGATCAAGAGATTCTTGAACATGGTTGTGGACAAGCACCAATGCCTTGTTATCATCGAGATGCATACTAATGCCAGCCTTTAGTATGCCTTGGGTGCATGAGCTCCGGCAGGCAATACATCAGTGGTCATCGTATCTCCTCTGGGTGAAAGCGGGAAGAGACGGAGAACGTCAAGGCAAGTATTGCATTATGTTCAGGCGCTCGGATCGACGGAAGGCAAGCAGTCCGACAGGTCGAACGAGGCAGCGCATGGTGTGTTATTTGTTGGCAATCGATTCTGCCCGCTTGAGCGTGAAAGTTCAGAAAGAATAGCAAGCGGTTGTTTCCCCATATGACAAGAGAGGTGATATAGAGCACGGAATAAAGGTGTGGACGTCCTTGTGGATAGTGCTGGACAGGTTTCCTGGACTTGGTTTGGTTGTCGAAGATTGAAACAGTTGGTCTCCCACACAACGCGTTACCAGGGCCCTTGGTCATCGGCGCAATGCTCCGAAACGCCTCTCTGCAAACAACGACCACACCCTAACCATGATCTTCATGACTTCCAATTTTCCAGCGGAATATTTGTCAACGACTCTATTCAATGTCGAACAACTCCTCTGCCTGTGCAAGATCATTCTGGGGAAGCGGGGGCTCCTTCAATCACATCAAGGGGTTGATTTCTGATTGACAGAAACGTGATCTTGTCACATGGGATTCACAGCGCTTAACATGCAGATGATGGATGGGGGTCGGAAAGGCGGATCTAGGGTCTACGGGCCGAGAAGCAGCCCCGTTATCGACCATGTTGGCAACCTTCACGACGACCCTACGAAATAAGCGCTGGACTATCATACAAATGTAACTTTGTTCATTTCTGTGCAATGCCATCACCTAATCAACCATCTCTACACTCTTCCATTCTTCCACAATGACTGGAAATTGGTTGCTTATTATCGTTGCGGATGCCTGCTGCGCACAGCCTGCCAGATTATACACATCACGGCACCCAGCCTCGGTCCCTGAACGAACACCTACAGTGACCATATCCCATCAATTCCTCGCACTCCCGGACAGGCACCCGTCCAGGGAAATTCGCCTCAATCATACTCCTATTTCTGATAACGGCATACCCGAGATAGACGCCCAAGTTTCAAGTCGAAGAGGTAAATATGACCTCGAGATCTGTCTCCCTCCGGACGAATGGCCAACTTCCCCCAAACAGCCCAACATCACCATCCAGTCCAGGCATGTCTAGGTACCCGTAAGTTGAATTTATATGCAGCAAGGTGTTTTTGAGATGTTGAATGCAAGTAGTGATGAGTACGATATCGTTTCGCCTGCTGTGAGGGCCGATCAAGAGCGGCAGATCGTGACTCTACAGCGACAGAAGTACGTCTCTGCTCTGAGTGCTTTGTCTATTTCACTGATTCATTATTTCAGTCGCGAGCAAGCCGATCGAGAACGTGCTCTTGTGCGACGGGAAAACACTCTACACCAACAAGCACAAGCACTCGCAGCCCGCGAAGAAACCATCAAACAGGATCAATTAGCGCTTGTGAGACGTGAAGAGGATTTGAGGAAGCGTGCTGGCGAGCTGGACAGACAGAGACACGTGTTGGAGAATGAGAGGCTTGTGCTTGCGCAAGAGAAGGAACATACGAGGCGAATGGAAGAGCAGAGGCGGGCTAGAAGGTACGAGCGCTCGATTAACGTTGCGGGGTTATACTAAAGTCGGGCATAGAACCAATTCAGAAGCATTCTTGGAAGACACATTCCCCGCGCTTGGTATACCAGACATCGTCAGGCACCTCGGGTGCGTGCGAGATGAAAACAATCTAGCACACTGTATGTTGACCCTATTTACAGCAACTCATCCCTTCGGATTCGACGACATTGTATGGCAACATTGGGTCCTTTTAGCGACTACAAGTACGCTCAACAGCATCAACGCGATTTCGACGCCCTCATTCTTGCCCTCTTGCCCACGACCATCCCCCTTATTCGACTCAACAAGGACGATGTCATAGAGTTCGTCTCCTCCCTCCTCGGCGAGCGACACATCGCACTCTCACTTTCCAAATCTCAGCAGTGTCCCCAGCTGTTTGAGATCCTCATGATTCAAAACGATGTCATGTCCAGCATCGCGAGGGACGCATTGACGATCATCCTGAAAGGAGATATCACCTGCCGTCGACCCTTGCAAGTCACACTGTCTCGTTTACTCCTACATGAGACCCAGCCAGTAGTGCTCGAATTCGCGCACCTGGCTCTTCCTGCCCTAGTTCAGGATGCCATAGCGGATGGACAGTACCAAGCCGCTGTCTTCTACGCCAATCACCCTTCCGAAACAGTGCGCACTTCCGTCTATCAACCCGTCAGCAGAGCCGTCAACTCTGCCGTAGCAGTGCGGCGCGGTTTAGTCCATGCAGGTCTCATCGTTGGCGGTCATGGATTGATCAGCTCCAGCAATCCTCCTGTCGACCTGCTCACTTTCATGGCGTCTGTTCTCCCCAACCTTGCTACCGAAATTGCGCTCGAAGATCAAACCCCCCTACTGCTAAATATGCTGCTCTACAAAGACCAGGGCCTGCAAAGCGCTTGTATCATTTCACTCCGCGCTATCAGGAAGGTGGATGCCAATGCTCGAGAGAAACTGCGCCTTGCTTTAGATCCATACATATGGCACAGCGACGCCATGGACGAGCGAGTTCGTGCCTTCACTCTCGAGAGTCTTCAGCAAATCGCAACCGATCTGCTCAGTGCCGGGCGCTTAACCGAGATTCTCACCTATCTCGATCTCCCCGACTCCAGCATGCGCGAGTTGTTCCTCACAGTGATACTCAAGTTGGCTCAAGAATCCCCAGAGCAGCAAAAGAAATTGTTGGACGCAGGCCTTCTCAGCAAAATCCAGCCATATCTTGCGCTACCCGATATCCCGTCCGACGTCATGACATTCACCGTTAGAGCACTCCCTGCATTTGCCATTCAGATCTGCAAGTCTGGAGGGACCAATATCCTTGTTGAGCTAGTACTGCATCGTGATATGACTCTGTCCGGTTCGGCAACAAATGCACTGCGCCGCATCCTCCATTCCGATCGTCGCTGTCGCCAGGCACTCCAATATTCCCTCGAGACACATCTGATTGCCCCCCCACCAAAAATCCTGGAATTTATGATCGAAACGCTCCCATTGATCGCGAACGACATGATGACCGACAACCGTCATAGCGAGATACTAGTATTCCTCTCCCACGAAAATGCCGCCATTCGTCAAGCTGTCATGCCAGTCGTTCTGCAGCTGTCACAGACATCCGCTGGTCAACAAAAGCAGCTCGCAGGAGTGGGTATAATGACTGTGCTGTCTCCTCAACTTTCATCCCCACGACCACCAGAAGACATTATCCAGTTCGGTGGCACCCTTCTGCTGCTTATTGCCGTGTATCTTGCAGAAGGCGGATTCGCACCTCAACTCATCGACCTCCTAGGGAATCCGCCTACAAGGCAGTTAGCTGCCGACTGCTTGCGAAAGGTAGCTAGCGCGGGAGAGAAGGCTCAGCAAGGGCTGGTCAGTGCCGATATTCTGCCTCGATTGGTTCAACACCTCCAAATAGTTCAAGATCCTGTGATCGTCGGTCTTTTAGGTGATTTGCTCCCCATGATTTGCCTGCTATGTTGTCGTCGCGGACAAAGCGGCCTGATCATTCACCTGGCGTCATCTTCTAATCCAACGCTGAAGGGCAGAGCATTGGCCGCTGTTCGGACCATTGTCGCATCCTCTCCGGCGGACAGAGGCGCTTTGCGGGAAGCGTACTTGCCTCAATTGGATTCTCAGGAGGAACACATCTTGGATATCGCGGATATCGCATTGCAGCCGATGACGAATGATATTCTGAATACAGGCGAGTTGAACGCTGTTCTGGAATTTGCTATGCACGCCGAGCCACGAATCCGATGTCCGGCATACGGTCCACTGCGAGATGCAATTCGAGAAAATCAAGGGACAAGACAAACGCTCGTGGAGCTTGGTTTCTTCCAGATCTTGATTAAGTTTTGTTCATCTCCAGTGAGGGACCGGGTAGAGTTTGCGTCGTCAGTCATCCCTTTAATGGGGATGGATGCGTGTAGGGCTGGTCTGTTACGGAACATACTGGAGCTCTTCAACGTGGACGAGAAATTAGCACGACAAGCCCTTTATATATCTCTTGTCCAGATTGCCCGTGGCACTCCAGTGGATCAGCACATGCTCATAGATGCCAATTTTCTCACCATTCTCTCTGCCAGCCTTCGGAATCCTCATCAAGGAGAGCCGGAGTTTTGCGAGCAGATACTCCCGCTTCTCTCTCAGAGAATCGCGGAAATTGATGACGCTTGTAGCATTGCGCTGCATCTTCTAGTGTTCGTCCAGACCATGCTATGCTTTACTCAGTCGCTAACTATGCTTAGAAACGGTCACCCAACTGTTCGCAGCTCTGCAACTCGCACCTTGGACAATATTCTGGGAGGCGCACCTACAGACCGCACTATCTTGGGGCGAACAATACTGGCACAACTGGACTCATCCCCTCCGCCGAATATCATCCAGTATTGTGCCAAGGCGTTGACCTCGACGATTTGTGGCGATTACATCAGAGAAGGCACTTATCAGGTTTTGTTCGATCTTCTCTCCCACCGTTCGCCTGAGATTCGCATCGCAGTTGAATCACAGCTACAACTCGCACTGCGAAATGACGGAACCGCGGAGCGATTAGCATCAGCTGGTTTATTCCAAATCATCCTCTCATCATTGCCGAATGCACCACAGGACGTCTTGACATTTGCTGCGGAGCAGGCTATTCCATCCCTTGGCCCATTCCTAGTTGAGAGTGAAGCGGATACTTCTTCTCTCATCAGTCTCCTTTCCCATGGTCAAAAACCGATACGGCAGGCCGCTGCCGCGTCGCTTCGGAAAGCCGCCAGTGCGTCCGCTGTTCACAGGCAGCGCCTTGTGAAAGCAGATTTGGTGGAACGACTTATCTCCTCGCTCGGAGTTGGTGATCCCTCTCTTGTGGATCTGGCATGCGGCCTGTTACCTGTATTAGCCGTCGAAATCGCCCAGGCTGGGCTTTGTGATACTCTCTTGGATCTGTTAAAGTGGGTTGATTGCTTCCTGACCAACGAGTTCACGAGCTGATCCGGAACAGCCATGAAATACTTGCAATTCGTAGAGCTGCCCGACAGACTTTGGATGTGGTTCTTCGAGACGACGATGTTCGTGTTCAGCTTGTTCGACCACTATTCGCAAGATCTGGCCAGCTGAAAGAAAGTAATTCGGCCTTCTTTGCAGAAGGTAGGTTTCGATGCGGACGAGCACGGATAAGGACTAATAACTCGTGCTAGCCATCACTGCGCTCAGCGATGCAATCTTGCTCATTGGCGACGAGAAAAGGCTGCTGGCTCTCATGTGGTATGTGACCCGCTTCCTCGTAGAGACATTACTAAGCGCAGCCGTAGGCATGAGATACCTGCCGTATCCGAAGCTGCGTTCACATCTGTGCGCGGCTTAATCATAAACGGCACCATTGCAGACCGCAGACGGCTGTTAGAAGGCCAGCTGTTCAATCAATTGCTTCAGATGCTCAACAATAGCCGTTTACGCTCGACGGCGATTATCTTCGCTCTAGATGTTATGCCTCTCCTGACACCGTTGATGGTGGAAACTGGACGGTTTGACCAGCTTATACAGCTTTTCGTGTAAGTCAAATCCAATCAAGCGGACGCCGAAAGCTGAGAAAAAATAGGGACGAAGAGCCTCAGATCGTATCCTCCGTCGACGACACCATCCGATCTGTATGTGTCAATCCGGCTGTGAATATCCAGCTGGTCCAGCAGGATGTGATACCCCGATTGATGATACTCTTGGATACACGGGGTGACGAACGTGTGCTGGATCTTGTGTGCTTCGTGATGAAAAGCCTCGCCGTTCAACTGGTCGATTTTGGAAAATCTTCGATATTGGTTACTGCCCTGACGTGAGTGCCGCAAATAATTGTGGACCGCCTATGCTGATTCCTATTAGGCGCCGAGAAGCGAAACTGCGAGCCGCTGCAGTTTCTGGCATCGAGACCGCAAGTAACCAAGGCGGCAACACCGTCCAATCCACGCTGATCCTCACGGACGGCTTCCTGTCCGGACTGCTCAGCATAATCACCATCGACCGGGGGAAATACGACGTTCTCAAAGCTGTCTGCCGTTCTCTGGCTAACATCGCTACGGCCGATATCAACCGTTCGAAGGAGATCTCAGCGAGTGGACTCATACCGTCGTTGGTTGAGCTGGCGCGAACTCCGGATGAAGGGATGCAAGTCGCTAGCCTCGAGGCTATATTTGCGGTCACTGCTACTGCGTTCGGTGATAAGACACCTATAATCAGAACAGGGATCGTTAACGTATTGTTGCGATACTTGGTGGAACCGCCGAGTGCGCGAGTTGCACAGCTGTCGCTGAAGATCATGAACTCTATTGCGTCTTTACCACCACATCGGGCGGAGATCGGCAAGGCAGGGATCCTTGGTGCGCTTGCTCATTACTTGTTGTGAGTTGTTGATCTACGCACATTAAGCACATGTTGACGTCCAAGCAGACCGAAAGATGACACGATACCTCTCGCCCGAGCGAATCAGGTCACTGCGCTCAAGATATGCCAGAACATCGCGAGCGAATCTGACAGAGAGCGCAAGTCCATATTTGAGGCTGGCCTGATACTTCCCCTCCTTCATCTCACCCAGGGGAATCGTGCCGAGGTTGTTTGCTTGGCGTGCGGCACGATCGAGGCTCTTGCTCGTACGGGCACTTTCAAGCAGGAGCTGCTCAACGCCGAAGCGGACAAGTACCTTCGACGGATTACGAGCATGATGCACAAGTCAACTTTGGCAGCGGGAGAAGACCGCAAATCGGCCAACAAGTCAGCCAAGCAAGCGTTGGATATGATGGAGACTGGTATTCTCCGGGGATTGAGCCGCAGGTTGAGCAGAAGCTCTCCGTCCACTCGCAAACTCCATGCGCGTGCGCATAGTGGGAATCTGATGAGCCCGACTATCCGCGAAGAATGAACACTGAACGCCATGTCTCTAAGTTTTCCTTTCAGGGTGTAGCGTTGTACTGATAGCCAATATTTGTGTCATGTAATGGAAGTACCCCTACAATGTATATCGTCTTGGATCGCATGAATGTTTATGCTAGATGTTTGTCCGAATGGCTTGGTATGAGCGAGATACTGGGGCATGTTCTGGGCATTGAAGGTTTGATTTTCTGGCAAGAGTGCGTATATGCAACAGTTTCTGATAGTACTAGTAAATTATGAGTTGATTGTAGTGCGAGAAACATGGACAAGGACTGAATTGGAGTTGGTCGGTAGAAGGCGGAAAGGACGGACCGGAGTGACCGAACCCTTGCTGGCACTTGGGTGTACTCCATATGGGTCTCACCTGACTACCCTTCGTCCACCGTCGGCCCGCCTCACCTCCAACACCCATGGACGTCGTCGGCCGCCCTTCATTTCCTTTCTTCTCCTCGCCGTCACCACCACCATCATGACAACTAAGCACATATTCAACAATCAGCAGGGCCTCGTCGTAAAGGGCCTACATGGCCTCATATCTTCAAACCCTATCCTCAGGCTCGATGCACACAACAAGGTCGTCTACAACTCACAGGCACACCCAGATCGCGTCAGTGTCGTATCAGGAGGCGGAGCAGGTCATGAACCTTTTGCTGCTGCCTATGTCGGCGACGGTATGCTCACAGCTGCAGTGTCCGGAGAGATCTTCGCATCTCCCTCCACCGCGCAGATCACCTCCGCTCTTTCTCTCATCCCCACCGGGAAGGGTGTCCTTTTCATCATCCTGAACTACACTGGCGATGCTCTCCATTTCGGTCTGGCAGCGGAGAAGGCACGCGCGAAGGGTATCAAGGCGGAGATGGTCGTCGTTGGCGATGACGTCGCAGTAGGGAGGAAGCAGGGTGGTCTCGTCGGCAGGCGTGGTCTAGCTGGATGCGTTCTCGTGTGCAAGATCCTCGGTGCAGCTGCTGTTAAGGGAATGGATCTCGAAAATCTCGCCGCATTCGGCAGGCACATTGTTGCCAACCTCGGCACCATCGGCCTCTCCCTTGACCACTGTCATGTTCCTGGCAGGACAGGCGAATGGGAGTCCCTCGAGGCCGGGTCTTGCGAGCTCGGAATGGGCATTCACAACGAGCCCGGTGTCCGCCACATTCATCAACAGCCCGACCCGAAGCACTTGGTCGACGAGATGCTCACCCTGCTGCTTGGTGACGACACGGATCGTAACTTTGTAACGTGGAAGGAGGATGACAAGAACGGAGAGAACGGGGAAGGCCCAGTGCTCATGATAAACAATCTCGGTGGAACGAGCACTCTCGAGATGAGCGCATTTGCTGAGGAGGTTGTCAGCCAACTGGGTAGGTGGACTTTCCCACTGTACAGACGTGTATGCTGACACTTTGGAAAGCATCCAAGTGGTCGGTTTACCCAACTCGCGTCCTCAGCGGTGTATACATGACCTCTTTGAACGGACCTGGATTCTCCGTCACTCTCCTTAACACATCCGGTGTTCAATACCAAGTGCATCTTTTGACTCTTCTAGACGACGTGACCACCGCCACCGGCTGGGCAGGAGCACACGGCGGTTGGCCGAAGGGCAAGCGCAATCTTGCTGCCGAAGCGAAGCAGACCGAGGCGCTGCTCCTCTCCGGCACAGAAGCGGAGGCGACCGATGACCGCAAGGGACCGAAGAACGCAAACCCGAAGGATATCGAGAGCGCCATCCGCGCCGCTTGCCTCAAGGTCATCGCCTCCGAGCCTGATCTCACAAAATGGGACACCCAGGTCGGTGACGGTGATTGCGGTATCACCTTTGCCACCGCTGCTCAGGCTGTCATTGACGGTCTTGGAACCCCTGCGCTTCCCACTACGTTTGCCTCCCAGACGATCGCTTCTATCGTTCATATCCTTGAGCCGACCATGGGTGGTACCTCCGGTGCTATCTTCTCCCTCTACCTAACTGCGCTCTCCGGTGCGCTCCAGACGCAGCCCTGGAATGAGGCGGCCCATTCCGCCTTGGAGGCATTGCTCAAGTACACCCCGGCCAGAGAAGGCGACCGGACGCTGGTCGATTCCCTCTCTCCATTCTGCAAGGCTTTGAAGGAGGGCAAGAGCCTGGACGCTGCCGTCAAGGCTGGTGCAGCGGGCGCAGAGCACACGCGTGGAATGAGGGCGCGGCTGGGTCGTGCGACCTACGTTGGGGATGGTACTACCGGCACAGAGGGTCTTCCCCCGGATCCCGGTGCATGGGGTGTTGCTGAGCTGTTCAAGGGTATCCAGGAAGGGTTGAGGCTGTAGTCCAAGATAATCGAAGTAGATCGTTTTTCATGAATTCGGCTTCGTCATATTGCAGTCAGCGCATATGCATACTTGAAAACCAAATGAAATATGAATTTCCCTAGTTTCTCGGTGTGAGTCTCATCGGTTCGTGTGAATTAATGGCCCGGCCCTGTCACGATGAGTCGTGGCGATGAAGCTGCACGGGACCAAATTTCCGGCATTCCTCCTCGACCTCAAAGGCCTCGAGATCATCGTCCCGCCAGCGCCAACAGTCAACCTCAAAACCCCGACATAACTCTCGAGATCTAAAATGTAAGTTGCTGTTCTCTTACGGTGGTGGGGTGTGAAAGAGAGGTTGGAGGTGTGGATGGGACATGGATTCTGGGTGGATGCGTGAGATGGACACTGGCTGACGCTGGACATAGGGCCTCCACCACCATCTCCAAGAAGAGAAAGGTAGGCATAACCATCTACAGTCGAACTGCAATAGCTCACGCGGTGTCAGTTCGTTGCTGACGGTGTCTTCCGTGCTGAACTCGGCGAGTTCTTCACTCGTGAGCTCGCTGAAGAGGGTTACTCCGGCTGCGAGGTCCGTGTCACACACGCTCGCACTGAGGTACGCTACTTGGATTCCTCCCGAGGATATAAAAACTCAGCAGCAAAGTAGATCATCATCCGTGCCACCCACACCCAGGAGGTCCTCGGCGAGAAGGGCCGCCGCATTCGCGAGCTTACCGCGCTCGTCCAGAAGCGTTTCAAGTTCCCAGAGAACTCCCTTGAGCTGTACGCCGAGAAGGTCCAGAACCGTGGTCTGTCCGCTGTTGCACAGTGCGAATCTTTGAGGTACAAGCTTCTCGGTGGTCTTGCCGTCCGCAGGTGCGTCATTTCGCTACGTTCAGGGATATATCGGTCTTACTCAAGCCCAGGGCATGCTACGGTGTGCTTCGCTTCGTCATGGAGTCTGAAGCTAAGGGCTGCGAAGTCATCGTTTCCGGCAAGCTCCGTGCTGCTCGTGCCAAGTCCATGAAGTTCACCGACGGTTTCATGATCCACTCCGGTCAACCCGCTCGCGATTTTGTCGACTACGCTGTCCGCCACGTCCTCCTCCGCCAAGGTGTCCTCGGTATCAAGGTGAAGATCATGAAAGCCTGGGATCCAGAAGGACGCCTCGGCCCTCGCAAACCCCTTCCCGATACCGTCACCATTATCGAGCCCCCGATCGACAAGCTCATCACCGAGCCTCTGTCGGAACAGAAGGGCCCACAGGAGCAGGCTATCCCCCCACCGGCACCTCAACAGCCGGTGGAAGAGCAGCTAGTTCAGGAGTAGACCGTTATTCCCTGGCTTTACGCGTTACGTTTCTTTGTCATGTTCTACCTGTGAAAAAGCAGAGTGTTCTGCTACAATCATCTTGATGGAGTGACATATATGTGGGATTATCGTCTGTGCTACGTTGCTGCTGGATTACCGCATACCCATCGTGTGCTGAGCCCTTGTTACATGGCACTCAGAAGTGCAATCCGCAAAGTGGTTATGGTGCTTTCTTACTTAAGCATTCTTTGACATACTTTTGATGGCCAGGGTGGGTTATATTTAAATTGTTATCTGAGCAAGGCTCATATTTCTGTCACCTTGCGCTACATGGTGATTGCATTTCCTTCATGTTTTGGAGGGCCAAATCGGATAGTCCTGTCGCTCGAGGAGGAATAGATTTAATCAATTGTTGTCATTTTGAATTTCTGGGTTCGGCCCCGAGAGCATGTGGGACGCGTCGAGACGCGTCCTCTATGGACGCGAAACAAATTAAGCTAGTCACGCGTTTCTGTTTCTTTCTCTTGCTCACCAGGACGCAAAGGACGGACACACTACATTACAGTCCTCTTCTACATCTTCACTGCTTTAATATTTGACAATGGGGTCCTACGACGAACAACGGTACTTGTTCATCTCTGCTTTTGGTACAATTGTTCTGATCCGAGACAGTGCTGCTAACATTGCTAAAAACAAGGAAATTCTGGCCAGTCTTAACCTCGGTGCACCAATGTTTGCTACACCCGTTCCCGCCGCTGCTTTTCTCGAGGAGAGCGTATCATCTAAACGACCCAAGACGTCTCAGTCTGGTCCCAAAAAGAAGAAGGTTCGCAAGGTGCTCTCTACTGTCGACAACGACAGTAGCAGCGCTCCTACATTGCGACGCAGTACTCGCGCTGCGGCACGTGGTGTATCTTATCGTGAGGATGACGATCGCTCCTTCAAGAATGAATCGCCAAATAAGGGGAAGGAAGAGGAAGATTACGAGGAATCTGACAGCGACGAGGAGGAAGAGGACGCCGATTCTTCCGTCAGGACGCCGCAGCGCAAGGCTCAAAGGCTCGGCATTCGCACTCAAGATCCAAAGCAATTTGGGCATATTCCCGGGGTTGAAATTGGAACTTGGTGGGAGAGTCGGTGAGTTTGGTCCCAACTCTATGTTCCACTTAAGCTCATATATGCGCTTGAAACAGCATGGATTGCAGCACAGCTGCTATTCACGCGTGAGTAGAAACAGTCTAGTGCTGACGCCGAGGCTGAATTGGGTAGTCCAACTGTATGCGGGATTGCTGGGTCAGCACGCGACGGGGGCGCCTTCAGCATCGCTCTGTCTGGTGGTTACGAGGACGATATCGATCAAGGCTACGTTTTGTGAGCTAGGGTGTCCTAACATACCCCGACTTAACTAACCACGGTTTTAGTACCTACACCGGAGCTGGTGGGCGTGATTTGAAAGGAACACCACAGAACCGCAAGAATGTGAGTTGAAGGGGTTATCCGCATGGCCTACAGCTAACATCTCATCAGCTTCGTACGGCTCCACAGTCGAAGGATCAAAGCTTCGAGCATATCTACAACAAAGCGCTCGAGAAGTCCGTTGAAACGAGGAAGCCGGTTCGTGTTGTCCGTGGCTTTAAGCTTCAGTCCAAATATGCGCCAAAGGAAGGGTATGTCCTTCAAGCCGCACGTTGTTTGTGATCTGACCGCGCCCATCAGGTATCGCTACGATGGGCTCTATATTGTGAGGATACACTTCTTTTGCGAGGCTAGTCCGTGACACTGATCATGTGTGTTAGGTCGAGAAGGCTTGGATGGAGACAGGCCTGAATCCTGGGGGATTCAAGGTCTGCAAGTTTGCTCTATGTGTGAGTGGACATGGGCCGGTTGTACCATTATTATCCTCACATATGTTCATAGCGCCTCGAAGGCCAGCCTCCAATTCCAATCAATAAAGACTGGAAAGGGGATGACGAGGAGGAGGATGCTGAGGATGCATCTGGTGATGCTGAGGAAGACCCCGAGTCAGAGGTTGAAGAGAAGGAGTCCGTTAAGAAGAGTACGCGCAAAGGCAAGGAGGGAAAGGAAGAGGCGAAGAAAGATGAAGTGGAGGACGACAAAGAGAACGCTGTTGTGTGAAAGGTGCATGATTTCGTTCCACAAATTTTGCCCCTCGTATATCTCCGAGTTTCTCGTACTTATTATTCAGACTGGTCATCTTTTTTTTGTAGTAATTCGTCTCTACTAGTGCAATAATCTATCGCATTGTTACCGCACACGGATGGTCTGTGCTCCTCGTTACCATGCTTAGTTGGATGATAATAGTAATGCTTGGCGGCGCTTTATCCTCACCGCCTCAACGGCGGTTAGGTGTCCCTCTACCACCATGCATGCCGTATCTTAGATCTAGTACCGAAAGGAAATCGATTCGTTCGGATTAACGGCCAAGCTTCAGATCTCTCAATGTGCTGTCACTCGTGTTAGTCACAGCAAGGTGTCACTGGCCGGCAACACGTCAGTAAAGCAATTGGGGGAACTTAGCAACTAAATATTAGCAGCAATTTCACTTGTAAACGATAGAGAAATACAGTAAGAAGTGAATCATGATAACCAGACAGCAGTATTGGGGGATGAAAGGAGCGACCTGCCCTAAACATACAGTTTCAGCCGCAATAATCTGCTCCCGCTTGACAATAATAACCCTAACATCCCCTCGACCCTTGAGCGGAGTGCACGTCCTCGACACCCCTTGCTCCTCATCATTCGACATGCCTCCCAAGCTCGACCCCAATGAGATCAAGGTCATCACCCTTCGTGCCACAGGTGGTGAGGTCGGTGCATCATCTGCGCTCGCCCCAAAAATCGGTCCTCTTGGTCTGGTGCGTCTATCTGAACTCGTTTCCCAGGTAGAGGTTTAATCATTCCATGCAGTCTCCGAAGAAGGTCGGCGAAGATATCGCAAAAGCTACGTCAGACTGGAAGGGCCTCCGTGTGACTGTCAAGCTCACAATACAAAATCGTCAAGCTGCCGTTTCTGTTGTCCCCTCTGCTTCCTCCCTTGTCATCCGGGCGCTCAAGGGTAGGCCTTTGCCGTAGAAAACCCCACTTCTCGACTAATATGTTTACTCGCAGAGCCCCCGCGTGACCGTAAGAAGGAGAAGAACATCAAGCACACGGGGAATATTTCCCTGGATGAGATGATCGAGATTGCTCGGATTATGCGGGACCGGTCACTGGCCAAGAACCTGGCCGGCACATTGAAGGAGATGCTGGGGACTGCGCAGTCCGTGGGTTGCACCATCGATGGGCAACCAGCTCACGATATCATCGAGGCAATCGATGCTGGGGAGATCGATGTACCGGATGAGTAGATGCGTGCGGGTTGTTCTTTCCTACCATGACTGCCGCTGCGTTTGGGTTTGTGCATGAATACCATATCATTACGAACTGCATTTATTATGAAAGCTGCCTTGGTCACTCGCTAAACCAATACCTTGCAACCAATATTAATGCGTGGGAGGTGTTCTCAAACCTGATTCCGTGTCCTGCTTTGTTTGAGGACCGCAATAGGAGTATACATACCATTCCGCTGAGCTGGTTCGAAATCCATCATTGATTAATCCAAAAGTATTGGTTAACATTACAATGACGAGTGTGTGAATCCAATACTAACAATCGTGTAGGTTATAATTTTACATCGTCTCTACGTACCAAAGAGGCTGCTAAAGAAGCTGTCCGGTCAGGGTTACGCTCTCATCGCATTGCACGACGGCAACGGGCTGCGCTGGTTCCGCACACACCGCTTACAGCTCCTTTCTTTACAACCACCATCTCTCTCACCTCGTTCTTTCTCTCAGTTTACTCTTCTCTCATTTCATCTCAACTTCTATTGTCATGTCTTGGTTCAAGAGGGATAAGACTGTCATCCCACCTGTCACAGACAACTCCCATGACTACAATTCCCGCTTCGATAGAAACACTGGTGGGACGCAACCAGCTCCCAACCAGTCCGACCCTAGGCAAAACTACTATCGACCTTCCAATGCTACCTACAATGCCTCCCGCGACCGTGATCTCTACTCGACACCCGCTGCACCTCCACCATCCAATGACCCCTATGCTCGCAGACAGATCGGCCTGGATCCGTACAAGTTGAAGGGTCGCCACCCTGGTGGTGTAGATCAAGACCGAGCTGAGCTATTCGATGGCTATGATCCGAAGGCTCAGGCTGCCCGTGAAAGGAATCGCTTTCGGGATATCACCTCGGGTGACGACGACATCACCGCTGGGGATGAGCAGACTCAGACCCAGATGGACTCGGAAGAAGAGGTCGAGGCGATCAAGAAAGATATCAGGTGGACGAAGCAGGAGACTGTGGGATCCTCCCGTAACGCTTTGCGACTGGCTCGGGAGGCTGAGGAGACCGCAAGGAACACCTTGCTGAAGCTGGGCGATCAATCTGGCATGTGGCCCTGGTCCGTTTCCTGTGTTATTAGCTAATATTGCTGTACAGAGAAGCTCGCTGATACTGAGCGCCACCTTGATATCGCGAAAGCGCACACTAACAGGGCCGAAGATGCTACGAATGAGCTCAAACAGCTTAACCGCTCCATATTCCGCCCCGTCATCACCTGGGATAAGAAGGGGAAGCGTGCGGCAGAGCAAGCACGCATGGAAGCCCGCCATGACGATGAGCGGTCAGAACGTGAGAAGGCGATGGCGGACGTCCGCGAAACCCAGAACCGTATCGGCAAGGCATCCACGTACGGCATGTCGACCGAAGACGAGATTCAGAGGAAGGCCAATCGCATCCGGGGCGAAGGACGGAAGCGCTATCAGTTCGAGGCGACTGAGAGCGACGACGAGCTCGAAGATGAACTTGATGACAACTTGGGTGAGATTGGCGAAGTGGCAAAGCGGCTCAAAGCGATTGCGATGGCACAAGGCGAGGAGATTGACGACCAAATCATTCGCGTCAAGAACTTGGAAGACAAGACGGGCTCACTGACAGGAAAGATTGATCGTGGCACGGACAGGCTGAAGAGGATCAAATGAAGAATGGATTGGAGCATTGTATATTAACAAAGATACCGTCGAAGCAGTCCCAATGTCAGATTGCAATACCATGATTTGTTACATTTCCAACAATTCGCAAGTATGAGTCACACGTTGAACTGCTTTGCTATTGGCCCATGACATAGAGTCATGTTTTACATATCTTGAAAGATAGATCTACAGTAATGCGGATAGTCTACTGTCTAGTGCTACAACAGCACGGGGAATAGCAGTAATTTTCACTTGCACGCAGTCTTGAGCGTACACAGAACATGGTTGAAAGAAAAGAGGATAATTATCACATATCTTCAGTCATCCGAGGTCTCGCTATAACACTTTCTCCTTTCCGACCCAGCCTTTCCTTCCAGCGAGGAAACGATGCTCGAGGATGCGAGACGCCTGCGGTCGGTCATCCACATCGATGGACAAACACCTCCGCACCAGGTCCCCAGCATCTTCTAATGTTCCTCCCCCATCGTTCTCTTCTCCTTCACGACCTGCCTCCACATCCCGATGACCTTCCTCAAATCCTGGTCCACAGCGCGCCTCCAGGGCTGCTGCTGCCTTGCTACCCGGTGCCAGACCTGCCTGTGCCTCGGTGGCCGTGGCGTATGGGCATTCGCCGACTAGCAGCACGTAGCCAATAACACCAAGCGCATAGACATCTTGCGGCTTGCCTGTGTATCGCTCTCCTCGGAGTATCTCGGGGCCCGCATAATCAAGACTGCGATGCACGTGAGCATGGTTGATGAGCGATAGGATCGGGTCCACTCACGTTCCACTGAATGTATCCCAGTACTTCCCTTCTCGCCAACCGCTTGCACAGCTACCAAAATCGATAAGGTAACAGGTGCCATTCGGACCCAGAACAACGTTTTCGTCCTTTAGGTCCCGATGAATGATGCCTTTGGAATGAAGGAATTCGACCTGGAAATATGCGTCAGGGAAAGCAGTTCGGGAAGAAGACAATCGCCGTACCCCATCTGCTATTTGGCCGAACAGACTGCGAACATCATACGGAGACAAACCCGCCGGATTTGCCTCTACTAAATCGAACAAGTCGGTTCCCGGTTCTTCGAACGGCATGACCAAATAATAGTAGTGAGCATCTTCCCAGAATTCTAGGAGCTTGCCGATGTTGTCATGCCCGCGTTGTTGTACCGGTTCCCTGGTGAGGTCCGGAGGGAATTCCTTCCGACTCGGATGCCATGGTCGAGGGATGAGGAGGTTAGGGACATTAGTGAGGAATAAAAGTACATAGATCTCGATTGGGATTGTTCCATATTGACGATGCCGCTTCCAAGAATCGGCAAGGATGCGAGACTTGATCACGTATTTGATGATGAGAGGCGGCTACACAGACATGAGCAACGGATATATGCACGTTTACGGTCAGAGACATACCCCGAACGGCAGACCGTTGGCATCTACTCGTCGAGCCCTCTTCACCAAGCCATATGCGCCTCTACCGGCGTCAGCCTCGATCCCAAAACCGGCGAGGGCAGCTTCGTCGTCGTAAGAGTCGTCATCATACTCAGAAGCCACAGAGGGGGCTGATGCTGAGCGTGCGGAGAATGTAGAAGAAACAGATGCGTTGCGAGTGAGGACAGGTGATTTGTTGTTAAAGGGTGTGTATATTGGAGAATAAGTGATCTCTTGCTTCTCGAGAGGTGTGCGCGGATCTTGGTCGTTCATGAGATACTCTGCATCAGAATTGCGGCGAGAGAGTGGCATCATGACCGAGAGAGCGAGGGAGGCGGTGGAGTTGGTCCGGGATAGGCTGATGCGTGGGGAGACTGGCGGGAGCTCTTCTGGGTTAAGATCGGAGGGCGGGGGCATGTGTCGCCCGGAGATGAGGGATATGCGCCGAGAAGGGGCACGACGAGATGGGCGTATGCCAGGGGAGGTAGGGGTAGCGGTGATCGAACCAGGGGTGATGGTGTCGGCGGTACGTATGCTGGGTTCCTGGTCAGGCAGATGAGATGTTTCGATGGGTGGGAGAGAACGAGGAGAGGTCGAGGGTGGTGATATGTCGATGTCCTTGACCCCTAGGACTGCGGTCTCTGAAACAGGGGATTTGGATGCAGACGAGGATTGCTCGTCGTCTTCTACCACGTTCGCGTCGTCCTCTCTGTCGTGGTCCCACCTCCAGTCGAAACCGCGACCAACGCCCGATACGCCCCAGCTGCCGCTAATGCTGCGGAAAGTCTGTTGTGGACGTGCGAGACGTTCTGAGGAAGAGTTTGAGTCGCGTGAGCCAGATCTGTCTCGTTGCTTGAGAGGAGGAGAAGGGTTTGGACGGAATGACATTGGGTTGAGAGTGAGAGCTTCAGCCATGTGTAGGAGTGTATTGAGAGGGGTGGCGAGGCAGGGTGCTTTGTTTACGTGACTTGTGACAGATTTGCAGAGAGAGAAGTGAAGCAGAGTGAGTGGATAGCAGAGAGAGGATGTATGCGAATGATTTATGGTAGTTGGATTGTGTTGGTTGGTAAACAAATGGGCAGTGAGGAGGACGTTTGGGGCGGTGAGGAGGAGGAGAAAGAGCAGTGAAGGAGGATGGCGGTGAGTCGGTGGGAGGCGGGTGAAGAGGGGGAGAGGCAGATCCCTTCTCACAACATAACTAACCACGGCACATCCACTCACACAATCACTTCCCACACGTTCCGACACCGCTCTTCGCCACAACTTGGCAATGTAATTATCTCCTTTAGATATTTTTACATTGGATATTACACAACGACATTACTATAAACAATACACTCCGTCATGACCCCTTCTCATCATTCTACACCATCAAAAGAAGTTTTCAGCCCCACAAGCCGGGCACAAACAACCGCTATTTCTAACCCCTTACAATACATCCGTATTCTTCTTATCTTCCCCTTCCCCCTGACAGCACACAAAGCGCCTCATCATCCAATCCCCGATACCCGCGATAGCCTTGACAGCCCTGTCACGAATATAGGTCCACTCCTCCTCGGCGTTTAATGGATGGCCAATACCCTCCAGGTCGACAGCAATCATCTGGCTTCCTATAGCGCTTCGGGACATCTCACGCATTCTCACACCCGCCTCATTCATTTGCGCTTTACATGGTCATGTCCATTAATTTCAGCGTCTCATCATCAAACAGAAGACGCTAGATCTAACCTCATTGCCCTGGCGCTTGATCGCATTGTGCTCCTTGGCAGTTACTTCGGGGCAGTATTATCTAAGCAATGGGGTTTTCAGCTTCCGCACAAAGTCGTCCGATCCATGGCGGAACATGTATGGGCACCGACGTCGACCCTGGCATCTGTGCACTCCGCAGGCATGCTCTCCGGCCCCCGGCAATCCCATCACCTCGACCACCATGGCAGACCTCCATGACTGGCGAGTACAGCTCGTACTTGGCCTCAGTGCCTTGACCGTGTACCTCATTGTTAATCTCATTCTGAGGCTCCGGATGAGTTCATGACGATGTGACACATTGCAATTGAGACTGACCCACGAATCTGCAGGCAGTCAGTTTCACCCATAGCAAATTCTACCCATTCGCCCCTTATGAGATGCCCGGTGCTCTGCTGCCATCCACACGATGGACGGCTGGCCCTCTCTATGCTTGGCGAGGGCGACGTGGCTGGGTACCTGCGTAATAGATCGGTTGGGTATATGATTACCAGGTGAGTTTGTCAGTCACCATTTCTAACCTTGTTACTAATGGATGATCCCAGGGGAGGAGCCCATCAAGAGGAAGACATACCCCATGATCCTGTTGCACACCCTGTGCACTGGACAAGTTGGGCATATAACATAGATGGTGGAACACTCTTCCATGTACACTGTGACTATGAGCTTGTCTACTACCCCTTCCTGTGGGGTGTCCACAAGGATGACAAGCACAAATGCCCTGTTCCAAAGTATAATCCACCCCCTGGGCCAAACTTCCCTGGTCCATGTTGGGATGGAGAGGACAAAGGTGGTGGGGGTGGGGCAGGAGGTCACAGATGGGGAGGTAGCAGAGGCGGCTCATCTTCAATTGCAAATCCAATGACTACCTGTGTCCATTAGCTTGACAGATACATCCTAGATATGCTTGATTTTTCTGAATGACATTCTCTGATGATGAAATGTTCTGCAGCACACCACATGACTTACTCTCAACAAAATCATATCACAACACTCCCTACCTACCAATAACATAGGTGGTGCTCTACAGTATCAATTAGAAATAAGTATTCCTGCATCACACATGGTTAAATATATAAATCTTATTGGAAAATGGTTGCCTGCACACCAGTTCACCAAGAAAATTCAACTTTAACTTCACCAAGTTTTCTAGCTTTGAATATGTCTGGGGCCCTTGATATCTCATATGCCATGATATTTTATCCAATACAGTAGTCTATCAGAGCAGAATTGAGGGAGATATGCATTGCCGGAGTTTTGCTCATTTCTCCAAACAACTTACTTTTTGTCATGTGCCATGGATTATGTAAACTGCAGTAATTATTAGATAAGAACACCTAAATCTGCCTCCACAAGCAGACCCTGACACATAGTGAGTGCCCTGGCTAGTGCTGGATAGAATTGCACCAATGCTGGGTCAAATGCATGACTGGCATAGATGTCCTTGACCATCTTTTAATCCCCCAGTTTGGGCAAGTTGGTTAATGAGATGGAACCAGGCTAGCCTGCAGAGCAGAACCCCAATCACAGGTGACCATTTTTTTCAGGACCACAGAGTTGTGGTGTGGCTTGCACTGGTAGGGTCTTGTTCCTGTCTTGCTGCCTGACAGCAACATCAGAACATTGTGAAGCTCTGCCCTTCCTGCACCTGAAACTGTCCACACTGTCTTTATGTAGTCACCAATGAACAGTGTGTGGCCTGCACCAACTGTCCTTCAAGGAAAGTTGGTGGGTTTTGTACCTGTGTGTGGTGACAAGGGTGTCATCTGCCATAAATGGTATTCCTTGCACAGCTGGAGAGGGACACAGTGCCCTTGTAACATCCATATGAGCCCTTGACTTGGCCACTTTGAATGGACTTCTCCTAACATTGGAATCCCAGTACAATGGTGCCTCTGATTGGAACTGAACTACCATGAGCAACTGGTGCTCCTCATCACTCCAAAATGTTGATCCACAGGTTCAATCTTGACAACCCATATACCCTACTTTTCTTATCCCTTCCACAAGCAGATGCCTGCTGTGGGCACATCAGTTGAGGTATAAAAGAAGAGCAGCCCAGGGTGCTTTTGTATGCTATAGGCAGAGGTGTTCAGATTGCAGCAGATTGCTCTTGCTTGCTTGCCCACTCCACAGACCATGCTGATATTTGAATTGTCAATTGTCCATACCACAGCGATTCCTCACTGGTAAAGGGAGTGCACTGAATGCATGTGCTTGACTGACTTTCCTTTGCCCAGGGAGCCTGCTATCCTGAGGGCAGAGTGGGCCATGTTCAATTATACCTTCTGTCACATGTATTTCTGGTTGGTGATGTCAGCTTCAGCATTCCGGACAGAATGCTGAATGCACTTGAGAGGAGTTTGTCATGTCTCATTGTTTCATCAGGCCAGTCATATCACAACATGTCGGACAGTATCTTGGCTCACATTCTACAGCATGATGCAGCTGATCTGATTGCTCACACATGGGACAACTTTTTCCAAGACATTCCATTTGAATTGGACAGTTCAGATGTCTTGCTCATTGCAAGTGGCTGGACTGTTTACATTTATGGTTACTCTCGGTGCCACCCTGCACACTTTTTGCCACCTTCAGATGACATTTGGACTTGGGAACATCTATGCATTGGTGATCATTTTGAGGCAGACTAAAGGTTAGGAACAGGTAAGTGAGAGACAATATTTCATTTCCATGTGTATTGTTAGTTTAGGACAATATCTGTGAAGAATGCTTTTTGGGGGGTAGCAGAGCACATGACTATCAGAAATCAGGCCATGCGAGTCTGCTTGGATTGTTGACATCTGAAAACTGAAGTCCATATTGGGAAGACCTCACAGCAGCATATCAGAGCCAGAGAGACATGGTAGAGCAAACTGTTGCTTTTGGATCAAATGCTGTGTATCTGGGCAAACCTTGTCTTCACTTTGGTTACAGGCCACACATGCCAACTTGTGCAAGAGAGTTTCAGGATGTGTATTACCACATGTGGGCAAGCTCAAAGCAAAGTGGCTAAATCCTGAACACATCAGATCCCCTGACTTCAGCTTGTTGGTGCTTGAGGCTTGCTCAAAACTGCAGTTGAGTGGCAGGGAAGGAGGATGATGGTGATGTCAGCAAGAACAAAGGGATGAGCAGGTGGCCCAGTGTTTGTTCCTCTGCTCAGGGTCATCCTCAAATGTGGGCATCCCGCAGTTTGCGAGCATCTGAGCTATTGCTCCAGACCATGTCAGTTTATCAGCATCAGCTTCTCCACACTGCTGCTGGTAGGCAGGTAATGGCAGTAAACAAGATGCATTAGTCCAGAGTGAAAATTTTGCACTATCTGTCTGGTCCCTAGCTTATGTAAGCAGGTACTGTATAGTACCTGTAGGTGTGCATTGATATGCACACCTCTCTACTATATGCCAACACTCCCCCTCAGGCCAGAACTAAGCCAAGGTCAGAAACAAAACCTATTAACTTGTGCCTTGTAAGAGCCTTTGTCAGAACATCTGCTACCATCTCAGCCATTGGGCAATACTCAAGTATGAGTGTCTTGTCCTCAACCTTGTCTCAAAGGAAATGGTTCCAGATGTTGAAATGCTTTGTCCTTGCATGAAACTGTTGATCCAGAGAGAGAGCGATAGCAGCTTGATTATTGCAGTAAAGAATCCTGGGCTTGGTTTGCCTGAAACCAAGATTAGATAAAAGTTGTTGAAGCCAAACTATGTGATGAGAGGCAAGGTTGGCTGCTGTGAATTCAGCTTCACATGTTGAAAGAGCCACTAAAGTTTGTTTCTTGGAGGTCCAAGAGATAGTGCCTCCAGCAAGAAGAAACAAGTTGCCAGATATAGACTTTCAATCATCTCAATCAGTTGCCCAATCTGCATCAGAAAAGGTAGTGAACATTGTAGTGTATTCACCAGGTCTACCATATACAAGAGAGTAGTTGTGTGTTCCAGATAAGTACCATAACACATGCTTACCTGCTGTCCAGTGCATAGCCAAAGGATTTGCTGTGTACTGACTCAGTGTCTGACATGCATAGACAATGTCTGGTCAAGTGCCAATAGCTGCATACATGAGAGAACCAATTGCTGTAGCGTATTGTTGTTGATCAACTGCTGCACCAGTATTCTTCTTGAGCTTGACATTTGGATCCAGTGGTGTTGAGACTGGATTGGCATTCTCCATCTGAAAGCACTTCAGGATATTATTGATATAGCTGCTTTGGGAGAAAGCTGTACTCCTATTGGGGTTGTGGGA